AAACTAGCTAGTTGAAAATGATATAGAGATAAAAATCTATTTTGTTCTAATACATATATATAACGGCTATATAAAATTTTCCTAGTAAAGACAAAGATTAATTATGAACATGAAAAATTACACTCAAATTGTTTTAAATTAGAATAATTCTCATTCAAAACCGAACGCAAAGTAAGTGTTGTCCTATAACTAACTTGTTTTTGGTATTCAGAATTGAAGTTTTTAAAGTGGAACGCTTTTTGTATAAAAAAAATGTATTATCCTAATTAGTTTATTTATCGATGTGACCAAAAGATACACGATAGTAATTACAACGCTCGTAAAATAAATTTGTTTCTCAATTAGGTACGTTCTTAAGTACATACATTTACTAATTAAGTATAAAGTTTGTATTTCACGGCTAAAAGGCTGTACCGATTTGAATTAAACTTCTCAAGTTGGTAGATATTAATTTGGAAATTGTTAGTCTTCTAGCGAACCCATTCTATACTGACTAAAACCCAATCAAAAAACTATTGTTTGTGAGGTCGTATGTATGTATAAATATAATATTGTTCGATGAGGTAAAACCGCTATACAGATTGTTTAAAATTTTTAACAATGTATAGACATATAACCTGACTTCAAAATACTGGTGATATTATAAATGCTAGTGTGTATGTATGTTTGTAGCCTATTCCAACGTAGAGAACTAAACAGATTTTGATGAAGATTTACAATAATGTAGCTTAGACATCACAGTAGGTCATTGGCTATAATTTATCACTAAATCACGACTAGTTTCCGAGGGAGCTCATCATAATAGGTCACATGAATCATATAGATTTCTCTGCGGGGTGGTTACCATGTGTATTATTTTAACACACTTTATACATTTTTATATTCGCCTAATTCCGAAGTCCACGCGGACTAAGCAGTAGACAAAAATATACAATATGTACCACCAATGTATGGTGTACTTAATAATTAGTATGTCTAGTACTGCAGTTTATCTCATAAATAAAATTTTCATGTCGCGGTTTTAGAGATTGATTTTGATGAAATTTGAGCATATTGAGTAGGTCTAGTGAGCATATTGAGTAGGTCTGAGAATCGGTCAACATCTTTTTGTCATACCCCATGATATTCATTATTCACCCTTAATTTGGTTTTTTTTCGGACGAAATGTTTTTTTTTTAATGAAGCATTAAAAAATACATACACCCCAACTTTTTTAATCACCAACTCCAATTTTTTTATATGGCAAAACAACGTTCGCCGGGTCAGCTAGTATACTATATAATTTGATTAAAATCAGTTAATAAATATAATATATCGATCTTAGATGTTAGCAATAAATAAAGTTAAATTTGGAGACTTGCCCGGTACTAAATAGCAACATTAGCTGTTCCAAAAACCAAAAAGTATATACTTCCTTATATATACTAGCTTTTGTCCGCGATTTAGTTCACGTAGAATTAGAAAATAATAGTGAATTCCTATCACATTACGTTTGTTTAAAAACCTTACTTTATTATCAGCGTGAGTGGAACTTTAAAACATAAGATAAAGGTGCTTCAATGTACATATGTACTATATATTTAAAGAAATAAAGTAAATAATTTTCATTACACTCCTTCAGTGTGAATCGTACTGTGATAGTGTTAAAGTTTTTCAATTTATTAATGAAATAAAAATCTAATCTGACGAGTAAGACTTTCGAGCTAAGACCTTCGAGATTATTCATTTAAATGAAAGTAATATTATTCGGATAACTACGCGTATTTTATTATTATTATTTTTTTAACTACATACTCCTGAATCCTGATGTTTCGGTTACTTTTCAGCACATTGACACGGTTGCTGAAAAGTAACCGAAACCGAAATACATTTTAAGATAACTGATTCATTTAACCAACACAATAATTTTTTAGACTTCAACAACAATAATATTCAGTTTTAGGACAGCATGCGAAAGTACCGATATTGTTTCGTATTAGAATTATTAATAAAATCGATATAAAAATGTTGAACCCAGTTTAATAATATGTAACTACCCTACCGCCCGTGTGTAGTGTGACGTCAAATGCTAGTATTGAATCACTAGCTACGACAACACTAGAATAGGTACGACACTGAGCATCTATTGTGTTCAACACAAACTGACATCTGGCATTGACATATACATATGTCACTCTACATCGCTATCAGTATATGTCAGCCTCAGTAAACAGATTACTGAACGTACCTTGTATAGTATAGTGTAAAATACGAATACGTTCTGAAATCTAAATTAACTGATTTACATAATAATATATATCATGAAAATTTATACAGCTGCGTGCAAAAGTATTAGGCACCCCTATTGTTAGTCACTATCTCATTATATTGCGGTCAAATGTGTGTTTTATGGTTTAGCTATTGTATTAGCGGCAATTTTTAACCAAATTAAGATAAAAGAAAATATTTATGACATCCAGGTGTGCTCCTAAGCGGTGTTTCTTCGAATTTGCTTTTTTTGCGTTTCGGGTTATAGTGTGTTATCAGTGCTTGCAGTGAACATACACGTCTTCTACGCAACTATTCCTATCACAATTCTAAAGACTAACATTTAACGTGTTAATCATGCCGAAAAAATCTGAACTAAGTGATGAACAGCGTCTAAGAATTAAGATTTTACATGAACAAGGCATGTCTCAGGTTAAAATAGCCCGAGAAGTGAAGTGCTCGCGATGTGCAGTTCAATATGCTATAAATCGCTTCAAAGAGACTAGCACCCATGAAAATAGACCAAGAACAGGCAGAAGAAAAGTTACTACTGAACGGGAAGATCGATTGTTGATTAGACAGTCTCTACAAAACAGGAAAAAAACTGCTTTAGAGCTCGCTGCAGCATTATCTGAGGCAAAAGGCAGCTCAGTGAGTGTTTATACTGTGAGAAGAAGACTTCTTAAAGCTGGATTAAAAGGATGTAAAGCAAGGAAGAAGCCGTGGCTGTCAGAACACAATAAGAAAAATCGGTTGGAGTGGGCACTCAAACATAGAGATTGGTCAGTGGAAGATTGGTCCAACATACTGTGGTCAGACGAATCTAACTTTGAGGTATTGTTATTTATTTTATGTACAATATTAAAACACATAAATGTTTTTAAAATAACGTAAATAATAACTTTGAAAATAAATGTGTTTTTTTCGTTTGGCATAGGTGTTTGGAACACCCGGTGTGACTTATGTTAGGCGAAGGGTTGGCGAAGAATACAACCCAGAATGTGTGGTTCCCACTGTTAAGCATGGTGGAGGCTCAATAATGATCTGGGGCTGCATGGCTGCCGACGGAGTGGGCGAAATGGTGTTGTGTGAGGGACGAATGAATAGTGTTAAATACACTGAAGTTCTGGAAACAGCACTAGCAACGTCGATAACGCAAATTTTCGGTGATACAAACACCGATGGCCTGAAATTTCAGCAAGACAACGCCACTTGCCACAAGTCCGCGCATACCATGAAGTGGTTTGCTGAAAATCATATTGATCTCTTGGACTGGCCACCACAATCACCAGACCTCAACCCGATTGAGCATATTTGGTCCATTTTAAAGAAAAATATCCGCAGGCACTCGATTAGCAATAAACAAGCTCTATTGGCCGCGTTACAGCAGGAATGGAAAAATATATCAAGAGAAGAATGTTTCAGGCTGGTAGAGTCAATGCCAAAAAGAGTGGCTGCGGTTATTAAGTCAAAAGGTGGACCTACAAAATATTAATTATTTTCATAAAATAAACCATTGTAATCATAAATACAGTTTTATTTACACTCGCTATGCTAAAACACCCTAAAACTTGTCTTACTGTAGGGTGCCTAATACTTTTGCCCGTGGCTGTATTAACGTGTGCGAATTAAAAATTCTTTACAAGCTAATAACTGCAACTTTGTCTGAATATTTTCATATAAAAATATATTTGTCTCTTAAAAGTTTCAGAACTTTAGAAGGTACGCTCTTTTTAGATAAGGGTCATGTTACATGTATCTACGTAATGGAACCTAGAAAATTACATTTATCCAAAAATTTTACCGTGAAATATTTAAATGTCAACTTTTATCGATATATCTATCTATATATATATATAAAATGAATTGCTGTTCGTTACTCTAACTAAAACTGGACAACGGCTGAACGGATTTATCTTATCTTAGTCTTGAAATGTTCGTGGAGGTTCAAGGAAGGTTTAAAAGCTGAAAAAAAAAATCATTTCCGGCAAAACCCTAAAAACAGCCCTTTTCTATTTCCCATACAAACTTTTTTTGACATTAGATTTGACAACTAACTAATAAGTCAATCATTCAGAACAAGGAGATTTATGGCTTAGAGGTAAACTCCAAAAAAATAAATTAAAAATTATTTATTAATCGATTAAGGCAGTACGAAGTCTGCCGGGTCAGCTAGTTTAAATATATATTCGAATTCACATTTACAAGTTTTTTTTTTTATTGTATGACTTCATTCACACTGACTGTACAACATTCAATGTATTTTTTTAATTTTTTGCAAGCAGGTTTCAATGATCGTTCACGTCAATGTCAATCTATTCAAATTCAAAATTAATGACAACTTCATAATGACCTCTTATTTTACACTCAGTGAGATATAATAAAGGTATATAATTGATCAATACTTATTACTGGTACATTTTTAGGGTCCGTTCATTATAAAGTAGGTCAAGTCAAGACTGTTAATTCATAAATGGAACCTTATTCAATCTAATTTAAAAATCAATTTTCATACAACTAATTACTTTATTGAAATTTTCGGTATAATGCAAACAAAATTCAAATTATACTAAAGTAAACTATGAGCAAGCTGTTGTAATATTTGCTCGAACCAATCTCTATTATGATTAAGGATGCTTTACATGATAAATTTTTAATACCACAGATTAATACATTATTGAGGCTCATACAGCCAATTTATATATTTTTGTAATCTATATTTGCAATGGATCACAGATTATAAATATCATTACCTGTATCTGGAACATTGATATTGAGTCATCCAACATCTGCACTCTGACGGCGAGCATCTTGCCACCCTTCTTGGGCGTGGCGGGCGGCGTGCGGGCGCCTCCGTCCACGCCCGCCGGCGTGCTCGCCGAATGGTGCATACGACCTACACGCGAACAAACAAACACACATGCATACACACATACTTTCATACTACGAACTTATCTTACAAAATATAACCCATGCAAATCAGATTCAGTAGTTTAAAATACATATACTAACAAGAAAACTGAATCCATATTAATATACCATATATATTTTAATATAAAAAATATGATTTTACTACAGCTCGAACATGGGCTGGCTCGACCGGGGAAGTACCACCCTCTCACAGAAGATCGGCGTGAAGTAGCCTTTACTGGCTGCGTTTCGTCTGATGAGTGAGAGTGCCGGTTGCCCTTTCCCTATTCCTACCCTTTCCTTTCATTTCCTTATTCCCACCCCTCCCTATCCCCAAAAAACAAGGTTGGCAATGCATCCGCAACAAAATGTTGCGGATGTCCATGGGCGACGGTAACCACCTTCCATCAAGTGGGCCGTCTGCTCCTTTGCCACCTTTTACATAAAAAAAAAAAAAAAAAAAAAAATGATTAAAAATACATGATTCAGCACAATCTTAACAGCTTAGGATAAATTACAAAAGAAACATTAAGAAGGATAAAGCGAAATCATTATGTAATGTAAGAATATAATTAATGGATGTTAAAAATAAAACAATATCCATACTATATAATAAACTAAATGACTTAAATAACTTAAAAATTTGAACTAAAACATAAGTGACTCAAAAATCGGTCATAAAGCTAGTGGAAACTAATTGAGAATATTAATTTGACACTTGAGGCGGAATATAATTTTTATCAATAAAAAGTAACCGTCAAATTTATACATCAAAACATATCTGAATGAATAAAACCTTCGTTAATTGTAACCGAATAAAAAAAACCTGCAGAAAATTCTCTTTTATATGGGCTTATAGAAACAGTATGACAAAATTATTATTTGTATGTGTGGTAAATTTTATGAGTATGAGTAATTAATGATGATGTGAACATTCTGAAAAGCATAAATTATATCTTAAATTTAAAAATAAACAACTTTTAAAATCTTATACAAACTTTAATACAAAATCTATACAATAATTATTACTATATATGGACTGGAAATGAAGTAAGTAATTAAATCTCTTTACAGTATGTAATGAATCATCAGAAATAATGTGCCGTCATCTCAGATATGGAAGATATTTCCATTTCCGTTCAAACATCATTTCATTCAAAATCATATTACTAAGTTAATTAAGCTTCCATCAATTCATTTATGATGTTTCAAGTTTAAAATTAAAAAAATTTAGAGGAATAATAACTGAATTAGATTCTTAAATATGATAATAATTCATAGTAACTTAAGATTGCTTCGTAATAAAATATCTACTGGAATAAATTACAAATTGAATTATTCATATATACTTTATTTAGTTTAATTGGTACAGGTCATCATTTTCTTTTCTATTGCAATAAAATGTACTTTTTACAAAGTACTACATAATTCTAATAAGATTTTTATTTAAACGCTAAGAAATGACAATATGTACACCATAGATTTTTCTTACCGGTGCAGAATTATTTAAAAAAATGTCTATTTTCTATAATGTAATGAAAACATTCTACTTTTTTTGGATTTTTTTTTAGAAACTTAAATTTCTATACAAAACATGCAAAGAAAATTTTAGTATATGAAGAATAATGAACCAGAATAATGAGAACTCCGACAACTTTAATGAGAGATAAATCTAAGAAGATATAATACCTGGCATGTGCCATCCAATAGTGGACAGATGTCCAGTCGAGTTACAACTGCCCGGCGGTAATTCAGTTTCCATTATACTTTTGTTATAAATCCACAACACTCAACACACCCCATTGTCACTACACTAATGTACCGCAAAACTTAATTTCCCACACTGCAACAAAATATTACTTTTATAAAACTAATATTTTTTTACTAACCAAAAACCTAAATCATTCAATCACAATATTAACTACAATTTTAAATATCAAATTTTGATATAAAAAATATCTAATATGTTCAAAAATATGACAAATCTGTATATTGAATCTTCCCTATGCATAAATTAGTGCATACAAAACATTAAAAATCACTTAGCCTACTGGTTATTAAAGAACATTATTAATGATCCCTCATTAAGTTTAAACTATAACACTTCACATGTATTAGTTGACTTACTATACCTTCATTTAAAATTTCTTGTAAAGAATTATGTAATCACTAGCTAATTAATTAATACAATTCATAATGTTAATATACCAGTAACAATATTTTTCCAATCAATCAAATCAACACGAAAAGACGAGCGAATCTCGTCACTGCATTTACGGTGCAATACCGGCGACCTACTCACACCCCCAGACATAAATAGTAGCCTCGATGCAACAACCAGAAAATAGGTCACACGGAGGTATAAGGCCCGGGCGGCCGATAGAGACGGCACGCCGCGACCCCTACCCTGCCGCTCAATCTAATAAGCAACCCTTGCAAATTTAATTACGCAAAACTACATTCAAACATCACAAACCAATTAATAATGTTTTAAATATAATTGAATATCTGAATCTAATTTTATCAAATTTAAATACAAACATGTAACTACACAATCGCAGATAAATGAGAGGGTCAAAACGACAGAATCCCGAACCCGACTTGTCAACCACCAAGGAAGTCATTGATCTGATTTGTCATGTGATGCACTGTTATTTTATGCACTAATATGTATGTTTTTCACTAATAATATAAACAGCGAGATATTATTGAAATTCAAACCCATATACTGTACTTTTAAATAACACTACATTGATAATAATAGTAAAACACCTTACACACCCAATGCCACTTTTACGCCATATTTATTTACTTTTACAATGTTACTATTAACTTTATTACATTAACGTTTTGGTAAATGGTAACCATTCTAAAATTCTTACCTTATACCAAAATTAAAATCTTGTTTTAGCAACATATACTTAAATTAATTTTAATATGCTTCTTAATTTAAAATTAATAGGTATTATATTTTGCGTGTTACATATGGATAGGGAATTTATTTAAATAAAAACTTAAATGACAAATCAACATATTGCCTTGATTGCTTAAAACTCTTTTGATATATTAAATAACGTTGATTAAAATTGCTTAATATGTAAATTTCAAACAAAATAAATAGTTATATGGTATTTGAGAGATGTCAATGCCACAACGACGTCAGACAGCGAAATCTTTCAAAGTAACATAACTGACTACTGTCTATCTACGTATGTGTTTATTATTATTTTGTCTTCAATTCAAATTGTGTATTATGTAAATTTTTTCCTAAAACAGTATAATTTATTTAATACCAACATGGAAACCACGCCATTACTAGCACGTCCAAAAAAGAAATCGCTGTGGTCGAGGTATTTATTAATTTTTTTGAATCATTGTAAGATAACTCAGTGGAAATGTTTCTTTGTTAATCATTGTTTTCAGGCTCAAGTTGATGTTTTTTAAGCAGCGAGAACTATGTTCTAGAGTAATATTTTTGGGTCAGCTTCCGGAAGAGGAGTATCCACCCAACTATGTTTGTAATCAGGTGAGATTGACCTCATTACTTAGTTCAGATAAAGAAGCTATTCACCCGTAGAGTCACGAGAGTGAATGAACTGATATTTAATTATACTAAATCTGCTCATAACAACATCACTGTTTTATGTTAATTAATTAAATTACACCTTTTTTTTATTCATTGTGTGTAATGAGATCACAGGTACATGATATAATTAAAAAGATGCTAGATTTAAAACGTGATATTATCTATAACAAAACTTTGCAAAATCAAAAAAAAAATATATTTTTACTGTCTGATGAATTACAATCTTAATATCTTTGAAATTTAAATAAAGGGTGAAAATTTTAGAACATTATTTAGAATATAATTTTTATTGTGTATGATATTTAGTTACAGTATATACAATTTTAAAACCTATTTTAGAAATACAACATCATCACATTCCTGCCGCTGGTGTTGTTTGAACAGTTCAGGTTTTTTCTCAACCTGTACTTCCTGGTGATGGCTTTAAGTCAGTTCATTCCGAGCATAAGAATTGGTTACTTGTACACATACTGGGGACCGCTATGTTTTGTGCTTGCTGTTACACTATTTAGGGAAGCCGTTGATGACTTCAGAAGATACAGGTAATAAAATTTACATTTATATTAAATATATATGTTAATTATGCTTTTACTGAATACTAATATTAATAAAATCGAATGCAAATTATATCACTTTTATATTCAGTGATTAAATCTTGATTTGAATCTCCAATATTGTATTTTGTTATGTGTATTTCTTATTCTAGACGAGACAAAGAAGTTAATTATCAATACTATGCTATGCTATTATGGAATACTAATCCTATGCTATTACCAAATGCAAATACTAATAAAACCAAATGCAAATTATATCACTACTATTTTCGGTGATAATATCTTGATTTGATCTCTAATATTGTATTTTGTTATGTGTATTTCTTATTCTAGACGAGATAAAGAAGTTAATCGTCAATGCTATGAACGTATAGTGTTGGACTCATCCATCCATGGCTACCGTCCGTTCATCACAGAAAATGTACCAGCTTCGTCCCTCCGAGTCGGCGATATTGTGATGTTGCATAAAGGACAAAGAGTTCCCGCTGATATGATACTGTTAAGGACTAATGAAACAATGGGTACTGTGTTCATACGGACGGATCAGTTGGACGGTGAAATTGATTGGAAATTAAGGTAAGAATTTACCTTTCTTTATATTATATACATATAAATATTAATTATAAATACATTGAAAAAAATCGATTCTGTTTTCATCATAATAGCTAATATTAATTACTAGCTTTCCGCCCGCAGCTTCGCCCGCGTGGAGTTCGGTTATATCGCGTTTCCAAGAGAAGCTTTCAAAAGTCTTTGATAAAAACTATCCTATGTTCTTTCTCAAGGTCAACTCTATCTCTGTACCAAATTTCATTAAAATCAGTTCAGTGGTTTAGGCGTGAAAGCGTAACAGACAGACAGAGTTACTTTCGCATTTATAATATATTAGTAGGGATTAACCATAATCAATCGACTTCATCCATAATTAAATGTTAATTTTTAATTATGGTTATTAGTTATATATTAAATTATTTTGTTTGCTGTATTACAATTTTGTTTATTTACATTATACACATGTGAAATGAATAAATTACAAAACTGATATTTATATTATTACAATGATTCATTGTTTTATAACATGAAATGTAATGCTTGCTGAAGTTATCAGTAACTTAAACAAAGTAATGGCTTCTGTGAATGATTGTTTAAGTTACATATTATTATGGGAAAATCAATAAGACCACCATAATAATATACATAGAATGTATCAACTAATTTCCTCTGTACATATTGATCACACTGATAGAACAGTTTTAATTATCAATATATAGGTCTTGAGAGTTACTAGTTAAAAAGTTTGCTATAAATTACTTTGTAATTAATTTGTAGATCGGCCATAACCTACTTCAAGACTAAAAAAACTTGTAATTAATTTTTTATGTAAATTATCAATACAATTATAGTTATTTACATTTTTGCAAGTTAATTTATTCCTATACTTATTCGTGCGTAATATTATTTACTATAAGTCTGGGTTTCCCCGTCTTTGTGACCTTTTGATTCGTTTGATTATGTTATCTGTATTAAACGATCCCGTCTATTATTTTTGATGATCTTAACTTTGTGTTGTTATTATTAATAATCAAATCTATCTTTGAAATGTTATTCAATTAGAATATTTTAGAAGACATTTATTAGGAGAAAGAAAACAGGAGATTCCAAGAACTCTTAATTGGCTTAAAAATTAAAGTCGTTACCCAAAATATGTACTCCGGAACTTACAGATCGCGAACTCTTTCATAGTAGACTTTTATTGAAATCAATAATAATCTTACAGGATACCTCTGCCATCTACGCAGAAACTACTGACGGACGCTCATTTATTGGACATAAACGCAAAATTGTTCGTAGATAAGCCAGAAAAAGATATACATTCGTTCATAGGCACCTGTACGAGAATGGATGAAGAAGAGTGCGATTCCTTGGACATAGAGAACACGTTGTGGAGCGGATGTGTTGTGGCGTCGGGGCAAGCAACGGGTTTAGTTATATATACAGGTATATTATGCCATTGAGAAACATGTCTCAAGTTAAAGCATTTTGAAGAATTATTACAAAAAAATATAGTGTCAGATCTAAAAATAATGAAGTAAGCAAAAGTAAATTAAAACCAAACATTCTTTAGTTCAAAGCAGAAATAGATGCATAAAAATTTCTGACCTGACCTAACTTTCTATATATTTAGTAAGCAAGAATAAAATGTTTGTAATATCTTCTGAAGGGCTTGTATTATGAACTACAATTTCTCATTAAAGCCCATAGCCAACACAGAACATTTATTAAGATTACTTCTGTCTGCAGGCTGTGAAACTCGAAGTGTGATGAATAATGCAACTCCAAGGTCCAAAGTGGGACGTCTCGATTTACGTATAAACGACTTCACCAAAGTATTATTCGGAGCGACCTTCTTCACGTCATTACTCCTTATCATTCTTAAAGGCTTCGAGGGTCCTTGGTACGGGTTCTTGTTCCGATTCGTCCTTCTCTTCTCCTACATCATTCCTATAAGGTGGGTCCGTAAAAAATACCTTATAACCATACCGTTTTAAAAATTGAAGAAACCTTCGAATCTACTTCAATATATAGTGTATAAAAACTAAATTCTCTCATCCTCGATTTCCGGATCTTGAATTAGTTTACTGTACAACAGTTTCGACCTTTTTAATGTATATTTCTCCAGTCTTCGAGTTAATCTAGATATGGGCAAGGCTTTCTACTCATGGGCCATTCAGCGCGACAAACAGATGCCGGGTACTGTGATGCGCTCCACCACTATACCTGAGGAGTTGGGCCGGATCCAGTACCTACTTGCGGACAAGACCGGCACACTCACCAAAAATGAGATGTTCTTCCAGAAACTGCATCTAGGGAACGCGCTGTTCGATAAGAATAATTTCTATGAGGTATTATTGAAGTGTTAAATGTGATCAAACATGTAAAATCTCTAGTAATAATATAAGTGCAAAAGTTAATAGGTCTGTCTGCTATGTTTTTACGCATAGACCGCTGAACCGATTTTGATGAATTTTGGTACATAGATATTATATGGAACTAGAGAAAGACAAGGGCTACCTATGATTTCGACCCCAATCCCAAAAATAACCGAGTTGAACCATAAAGTGTAGTTCAGATTTAGTAGTAGAAATGGTAGAGAACAACTCTAATGTTCACGAGGACGGAGTCGCGGGCAAATGCTAGTATTTTATATAAATCAAACTTCTTGATTAAACCTTCCTATTCTACGTTTGAGGTGGAAGCCCTGCTCACACAATACATAACAAACGACGCGTCCTCTTTACCAACCTCCCCGGTGTCGGAGGGCGAAGTCCTAGCGCCTACGCCGAGGCAGGTGTGGGAATCAGTACTGGCGTTGGCCTTGTGTCATAACGTCACGCCCGTTTATGAAATTGACGACACGCGAGCTGACGAGGCACAGTCCGGTTAGTGAAAGAAAGTTTTATTAACTTTTTTGATATTAATACAATATTAAGTTAATACTTCAATTAATATAGAGAAGAATTGGTAATGCACGGAGTTTGAACACGATAGTTCAATCAGTAAAGCAACTGTAAAGTCATATTTCGTAGGTTGCAGATTCGAACCCTGCTTGTGTTGATAGGTTTTTTATCCTATAATTTGTTGAAATTCCTTGAAACAGATTCTGCAATATGTTACGCAATAAGTTCTGTAAGTATTGAAGCTTCATAAAAGTGATGAAAACCCAATGTGTTCAAAAACCTTATACCTTATAACTTTCAGTAAAGTTTCTCATATAACATTATATATGTGTGTACAAACATATATCGCTTATTTTTCTTAGATATGGGGAGTTCTGTAATGTCGGAGAGCTGTGGAGGTGCTGTGCCCCAGCAGCAGCTGTGCGACTACCAGGCGGCCAGCCCCGACGAGGTGGCTCTCGTTAAATGGACGGACATGGTACTAAGACAACCAATATCTGTACATTTGTCATATATTATACAAGACTAGCTATTAAGAGTTTTATGAAACAATAGATGGGCGTATCGTTATACCGTCGTGATCTTCACAACATAGCGTTGAAGCTGCGCGCTGCTAACGAGGTGATGCAGTTCAACATACTGCAAGTGTTTCCCTTCACCAGCGAGTCCAAGATGATGGGTATCATAGTTCAGGTATTCTTCAATAAAGTAACTCGAATTTTTGTTTTGCTAAATTTTCATAATGTTCATATTATAAATATATTAATCCCATAATTTGCAACTGATCATAGTAATGCTAATACTAGTTGTTTTATCTAACAAAAATATTAATGTTTTAATACGAATTATTTAAATAACATATTGAATGAAGTTTTTCCAGTTTCGATAATAGTAACTAAGAAACAAGTGGAAAACAAATATATAGAAATCATACGTTATCATAACACGTGTTAATTATAAATAGTTGATTTGTTGATATAAATTATTCTGTTTCGTTGTCCTGACGACTCTAAGATTGTTTTTTAATACAAGTCAGTTTATTTATTGCTTTAGAAATACCATCGGCATATTCACAAATCATATAAATTGGAAAAAAACATAAAAAACTTGTACAGTGTGATACACCATTACAGGTATTTACATTTTACAACTTACATGTTAACAAAGGTAACTAAACACTACACTCAAAACTCAAACTCAAATTTATATATCAAATCAGTTATAAGTAATAACATATTATCCATCCAGGAGGAGAACACGCAAGCAATAACGTACTACGTGAAAGGTGCTGACGTGGCTCTGTCCAAGCTGTTACAATCTTCTTGGCTGCCGGCTGAGTGCTCCAAGTTAGCGGCCGAAGGTCTACGAACACTGGTCATCGCTAAGAAGACTCTCACCAAGAACGAGTATTTGGAGTTTGAGGTTTGTGGATAACGTTATCATAAAAAAGTAAATATAATGAAAATAAGTCTATAAATTCGTGAATAATAATGTGAGATTTTTCGTATTAAACATTACTTTTCATTTGCGCTCTCCTATACTATATAGCTGTAGCTAGTATCCTTATACGTAATCATAGCATATAGGTAATGAATTATCGGTATCTTAAACGGATTTTTAAATAATTTCTAATGATTTCAATAAATAATAACACTCCGTAACGTATACACAGAGCGAGTACAAGGAGGCCCGCCTGAGTGTGACGGGACGCACGGAACGGACCGCAGCGTGTCTGGCGAAGCTGCACCGAGGACTGGCGCTGCTGGCTCTCACTGGCGTGGAGGACAGACTGGCTGACAGGGTGCCCGCTACACTAGCCATGCTTAGGACGGCTGGGGTTAAGGTACAATATGAACTGGTGGGGTTAGGTTAAACTATGAACTGATGGGGTTAAGGTACACTGTGAACTGAAGGTATTAAAGTACACTAGATGGTTAAAGATCTTTATTCTCATAAGAACATACACAGGTTCACTTACATGAGATTAAATAATGTTACACACATACATTAATATTTGATACATGGAATGGCTAGTACTACTTAATATTGTCTAATATATATATTTTAAGTTTATTTTTAAAAGTAATTAAACATTTACATTCTTTTATGTAGTTTGGAAAATCATTATATAGTTTTACTCCATCAAAACATATATTTTTGTATCCATAATTTAAGGTTCTGACTTTAGGTAATTCAAGTTTATGTCTGTTTCTTAAGTTATGCTTGTTTGATTTTTGTGTAAATCTTATGTTTAAATGAATACTTTTAGATAGTATATAAATAGTATCTTTTCAATTAAAATACATGTGTTATAAATATATGTTTTATTTAGGTTGAATAATTTAAATTTTTTGTACAGTTCTATCGACGGTGTGAAAAAGTCATAATGAAAAAGTACTTTTATAATTTTGTTCTGCGTAATTTGTAAGATTTTAAGGTTAGACTATGAAGAAATAAGATTAAGGAACGCTATGAACTGCTGAGTTTAGGTACCCAATGACGTGCCACATAATAGACTTCTCGATCTCATTGTTTTGATTACAAATATTGAATTTCAAAATTCAACCCGGCTTTCCTTATTAATCGTTGACTTGCTTCTGATAAGTTATAATAATGTCTTCAGATCTGGATGTTGACTGGTGATAAGTTAGAGACGGCGCTATGTATCGCAAGGTCGCTTCACCTGGGAGGTAGTGGGGAGTGGCGCGTGGCTCCGGACTGTAGCTCGAGGAGGGACGCGTACGCTCTCATACACTCACTGGACAACGATGATTGCACCGACCTCATTATAGAGGGAGAGACATTGGAGGTGAGAGGGACGGAGATATATGAAGAAGATTAATACATTCACATGAAAACAAATAGATACTAAATAAGTTTCAAATAAGATTTACATTATAAACAATACATTTTCTTTGATCGTATTAACTTACATACAAATTATATATCATAGTGGGATATAAGAGTCTTATCAACACTGTATCAGACTGGGTGATATTTATTTTAATTTCATTAACAATAGCCAATTCTATTTAATTTGGTATAGCTATTTTTAAGATTCAGTAATGTCAAGCTTTTAATGTTGCAACGATGACATAATATGACATCTGTCTCTTAAAGATGTTATTAAAGGTATTAAATTCTTACAAAAGAAGTCAAGTTAAAGAAAAAACATACATTTATAATACAACTATCTTTATATCCTAATATTTCCAGGTGTGTCTCCGTGCGTACGAGGAAGAGATGGTAGAACTTCTCCAGAAGTGTACGGGAGTGGTGGTGGCGCGCTGTTCACCCACACAGAAGGCGAGGGTCGCGCGACTGTTGAGGGACAGAGATCTGGTGGTGGCGGCCGTGGGGGACGGCGGGAACGACATCTCCATGATACAAGAGGCTGATGTGGGTTCGTACCATGAAAACTTGACATATATGTATATGTATACCTGCCCATATTATAGGCTACTTTTAAAGGAAACAAATAAGACCATAACAATTAAATTTCCTAACTATGTTATACAATAGGGTAATAAATTATTGCAAGTTAGATTTATGTTATTGTAGTAATATTTTTGTGGAGATATATCTTGTTATGTACCCAAGTTCAGACAATTTATTATAGTTCAATGACTAAAACTTTGGAATATAATAACGATTATTTATTTCATTTTTTTTTTTGAATGTATTTACGATATTTATTTGAGCGAATCTCTACATCTCAGAAATAATGTTACAACTCTTATTATATTTTTTATTAGGCTATTAAGTAAATACGCTTTTCACCGCTTTCATATGTTATCTAGGTATAGGTATCGAGGGTATAGAAGGTCGTGCGGCGTCTCTGGCGGGAGACGTGAGTGTCCGGGAGTTCGCCCACGTCGCCCGCCTGTTGTTGCTGCACGGGAGACGGTCGCTCATGCGCTCCGCCGCTCTCTGTCTGTTCATTGTTCACCGAGGGCTGGTTGTATCCACTATGCAGGTAAAATATTATTTATAACCTAATAACCTTCTCTAAAAAATCAGTATAAGCTTACTGCGTTATTTTTCCCATCATCGACAATAAGTAAATGTTCTAATTTAATTGTGGCTTACAAAACGATGTACTGAATGTTAAAATTGAAACACGTGATCAATACTTCTTTGGTACAAATGTTTCATGTATTATTTTTTTTATTTATTTTATTTAAGGACCACTAGTAGCTACTACATGTTTAATGACAAATGTAAAACAATAAAATGAAAATAGCTAACATGTGAAGCTTTTTAAAGTAGCCACAACAATTACAATATTTGTTTTAAAAATACATTACCACAATTATAGCAACATGAGTAGAAAGATTTAAAAAAATAAGTTGAAATTGATAAAAATTAAAAATTATTTCTCTTCTAGGCCGTGTTCTCCGTCGTATTCTACTTCTCTTCAGTGTCTCTGTATCCTGGATTCTTGATGGTCGGTTATGGAACCGTATTCACTATGTTACCGGTGTTTTCATTGGTAAGTTTTTGGGCAATGCTAAAATGAGCTACTCTCAAAGTTTATGTATAAAATAATGATTTACGAACTGTTCCCAGGTGTTGGACAAGGATATATCGAGTACAACAGCTCTTCGTTATCCTCAATTATACAAACAGCTGACTAAAGGCCGACAGTTGTCGTACAAAACTTTCTATATATGGATCGGAATATCTATTTATCAAGGTGAAGTATAAGTATATAAGTTTCCTAAAACATATTTTTATGACGGTTAAAAATACTTTATAACACAAAGTATTACGTATCGCCTACTATCATACTTGAGGAAAAAGGTTAGGATCATCACAAACAGCGTCTTGGAGCTTTTAATAATTCTGGTTTATACACTATCGTGGATCAAGTTGTTTATTTATTTGAAACAATCAGCGAAGATAGAACAATCATGTAATGCACAAGCAGTTAGTAGAGAATAGCCTTAATTACATTCTGCCACGACGTGCAACATACAAAAAGTACCTATTCAACAGAACTATATAAAAATATATCACATATATAAATGATATCTATTTGATCAACCAACATTAGCATTTCTTCAGTGTATATCTTTTTTAGAGCTCTCATAACATTCTGCAACATACAGAAAGTGTGAATAAATAAATTAGATCTAGATACAAAATATATTACATATTTAAATGATATCTATTTTTTCAACCAATGAAACAAAGACATTTCAAGTACAATATATACCGTTTTAGAGAGTAGCCTTCATCACATACTGCCACACACTAAATGTTCGAATATACAAAATAGAACTAGATGAAAAAATTTAAGTACATATTTATATGATGTCCATTTATCTACAGGTGGTGTTATAATGTACGGGGCGCTGGTTCTGTTCGAAGAACAGCTCATCCACATAGTAGAGATCAGCTACACGGCGCTCATCCTCACCGAGCTACTAATGGTTGCATTGACCGTGGACACATGGCACCGCCTCATGGTGCTCGCCGAGCTAGTCAGTCTGCTCATGTACACCGCCACGCTGCTCATATTCACTTCATACTTCGGTGAGCTAAACTTACATATTCATAGAACATTTAACTGAGACGAAACCTCTCAGAATTCTATGGATTCACCGTGCGTGTGTCGGGTCCGTTACTGCAGAGAGAGGAGCTTCGACAGTGCCTGGGACTTTAGAACCAGGTGTAGGTTTAAGTACCTATCTAACGCTTTAAACGCTCACCTCCACTGTCCAAGCTCGTTTATCTATCTAACTAAATTCGTAACAAATTTACTAGGGCCTTCGAAGCACGTTCTAAGAATGAACTTATATTAATACTTTTTTTTTTTTTTTTTTACTTATAACTTATATTAATACTGGACAGTCCTAAGCCTTTTAGTGTTTTTAGTTTTAACAGAATAATCCGAATGCAGTTCTACTAAGATGCTATCCATACAAATAATTTGTTTCCATATCTCATATTTACCCATAAATCTCAATATTCACCTCATCGTCACTTAAATTAAGGTAATTAAAAGAAAATTATTCGAATATAAAATGATAATTTGTTACAAGTGGCGTCCTTCGTGTCGTGCTATTTATAAAATACTATAATCCTTAGAATTATTTTTATGACTGATTATAATTAATTGTGATACTGAATTATTGCAATTTTGTAATAGCACCATTTAAGTATAACCCTGTATTTAAAAACTATAAATTCTGCTTCAGCCAATTTGTAGGACATTACTGGAAGTAACGCTAAACATTAAAGACTGAAACTGTACTTAGAAGAAATTATTATCACACACATAATCAGTTAAGTTTTATATGGTATTATTTCCTAAGACGCCGACTTCATCCGTCACTGGGAGTTCTGGTGGAAGGTGACCACTATAACCCTGGTGTCCTGTCTGCCGCTGTACATCGTTAAACACATGCACAGGAAGTGGAACGAACGTCAGTACAAAAATATACGGAAATAAATATATCACTTATATTGTACAGATTGTAGAACTTTGTCACTTTATATATCACACCATACAAGTGTATGAGTACTTTGTACACCGATTGTACCTGTAAGTGTATCCTTGCTTATGATTTATTTTGACCGATAATTATCATTAGTATTTAGTATTTATATATAGTATTCTTTTTATGGGAGTTTTTAAAAAATGTTCTGATTGCTGCGAATACAGACAGTAAATGAAAGATATATAAAAATTTCTTTCATAATCTTTTTTATATCTATATTTCTTTTTACTTTCATATGTATTATTTTAAGTATTAAACAATATAGCAGTATGTAATAGTATTTTTTTAATGGAAATGCTTTAAAAATCTTATATTTAGTTTATTAAATTCAAAAAGTGAGTGCCTTTATTTGTAAAAATATTTTTTCATTATGACTATAAGCTTTACATTAAGCATGTATTTATAACCTAACGTAAAGATATAATTTGCTGTTATAATTTTTATTTTATTATTATTATTTCTTATTTTTGACTGAACTAATTCAGACAGGAGATTTTTTTATTTTATAATTATTTTTGGAGGGTATTCTCAAATATTTCTAGATATATATCTGTCACTGATTAGTAAAAACTTTTGAATTATTTTAATATCTGCTAATTATATGTAAAACAATATGATACTGTGATTTTAGATTGATTGTAGTGTTAGTGTGTAAGAAGTTATTCCATAAGTTATTCTGAAATTGATGACGTCATTTATGCAAGGTACAAAACGTGTAATTTGTGATAGATATATTTATTTGATAGTTTAAAAATGTGTTAGAGATTTTATTTAAGTTATTCTATGTGTATCCAATGTTCCATTATTTTATGTTCGAGTTAAAAAAATGTTTATGACACTGTAACCAATAAAATTGTTATTTGTACATTGTTTACTTTATAACTTATACCCTGTTTTTGGAATTCCCGGTTCTAAAGACATAAATACATATGTAATATCATGATGGCAGACCCTGGCAAAAGCCGGGAAATTGTCAGGAAGCAGAAGAAGATTAGGAAATCGTGGATTTACCAGTTTAATATGCTGTTATTTCATACTAAAAATTCTGATTCAATAAATGCGTAAAATATAAAATTCTCTTTTATAAAATCCAAGACCTTATATTTAATAAATTCTGTCTTAAAAGATAAATAATAATACCTAATTGGGCCTAAAAACAAAGGTACTATTTATTTCTCTTTAAATAATAATCTATGATTACATATTGTATAATTATTTTGTTCCCTTAGAAAAGTTCGCCAGTTCCCTGTACTAGTTGAAAATTTCTTATAGAGCCCAGGGCCTTCCGTGTGTTACGATTAATTTTAAAGGCTATTCAGTCAAGCGTAGATTTCAGTATTTTATTCACACTATGTGGTAGGTATGGTGTATGTATGTATATGTCATGAGAATAAATGTGCGTCTGTGCTTGTGTGTATTTGACTATGCGTGTGTGTTACTGACTTTTCTATAGTTGTTCAGTTTTCTCATAATTTAGGTTTTGTAAATATTCATATAACTTTCTTTTGCAATTTATTACAGTTAGGGGTTATATTTTATTAACTTATTAGTTTTATTAACAACGAAATTAGGATATATTCTACAGAACGTTGATTTGCATTGAGTGTAGTTATAATACAATGCGTGTTTTCAAAGCCAAATAACAATTGCCTAACGGTTAGGTTTGATATAATACCTCGGTTGGATAGATAGCCAATAGTTTTGGAGATCTTAACTTTGTGAATACCACGATGACCAATCTCTAGGGACTTTATTGTAGTCCAAGAGCCCCTACACAGGAAGAAATGCAGTCTTTTATATTAAAACTAAAATATACTTGTGTCATCTGACCTAATCATATTGAAGTCATGTTAGGTATAAATAAATAAACACGAGTGAAAGATTTTCTGGTCTAAGCTACTTAAGCATTCTTGCAGCCAAAGCTTTAGTGAAAATGTTCTGTAGCTGTGGATTCTATTTCTAAATACCAATATCAAATATTACTGAAAGCATATTGATGAATAAAGAGCCTGCCAATAAAATGTTCGCTCGGATGTACTACGAATTTTCAAATTATAACGAAGAATTAAACAAAAATATTTATTTTTCTATAACCTTGGTGTAGTTACCAAATAAAGATTATCTTACAAATTTTAAACGTGTCTTAAATAAAAATATGTCTTAATCAATAACTAGCAATCTATAAAACCTATAAATAATAATACTAAACAAAGGCTACCGATGGGATTTCGGTGTTGTATAGGAAGTGACATCAAATTCGGTTCCTTCAGTACCGGATGTAGACCTATGTAGGGAATGTTTAGATATGACGCGGCGGCTCCAGGCCAGGTCCCGGGAAGCTCTCGACCTACGACATCTAGATTTAGAGCTCGTCGAACTAATCGTTCTTGCTGAGGTAGAACTACTAGACATCGAATCCGTCAATTGCGCTCTTTGATATGTAACATCGGAGTTGGTCACTGTACTCGTGGAATACAGAGGTGTCTGTGGCTTTGTCTTTGGGAGTGGCTTATCTATCTTTATTTGGGTAATAGAAGCCTCTAATTTCGGAGGACTTTGAATAGTTTCGACTCGACCCACGTCGATCACTTTTCCTTTAACATCGACACTGCTTAGAGATACTGTTAGTGAAACATCGCTCTTGTTTTCGTTGTCGCTCAAATTTTCTGTGATTTCCTGTAGATCATGTCGTGTTTTAATTGAACCTATCGTCGAGCTTTTAGTTTTGGATGTAGGTAGTTTGGGCCCCTTATCTTCTGAGTAACATACTGTGCTTTGGTGGGAAGGTAACATGGCGGGAATATTTGAATCTACTTTTGCATATGAGATGTCTTTACTGTCCAAAGACTGTTGTGATGGCCCCTTGCAATTGCAATTATAGTCACCTATAATGTAACTATATAATATTTGTACGAGAACAATAGCAATTCCTATCATCAGAATAACAACTACATATAAATAAGGAGTCCAATCCCTGTCAATATAAATATACGACTCTTTGAGCGCTTTCCATGGATGCCACATCGATACTCCAGAATCTTGGTACTCGAAAAGGTTCCTGCGTGATAAACCTTTGCCATAGTTTTGAACGGCTGCAGCTACCCTTAACACACCTCCGTAAGCAGAGTACAATTTCTCATCAACAAGCCTTGGTGCCACGTCTCGTTTCATCCAGTGCCATAGGTCATTATTAAAACTGACAAAGTCGGAGTGACGACATGATTCTGGGGAATTATTTAAGATGCATCGAGAGGCCGTGATATAGTATTTTAGCAAAATGTTATCTGATGATGGTGATACTAAATTTACTAATCCATCAACTTTTAAAGGTAAAACTATGGCACCTGGTCTGAATTTGTCGTCAGATTTTGGTAGAGGTATGTGGATACAAGACTTCTCATCACGTTTTGTAATCAATCTCGCGCAAGGATCCGTCAGTTTGCCCGTCCCTATGCGAATCTTTTCTACTGTCAAATTACGCAAAGTTGGAACGCTCCTACAATTCTTCCAACCTAAACCCTGAGTATTCAAAATGAATTTTATTTCGTCGTAAAAGTCATGCAATGACTTTGCCTTTCTGTAGGGAACATATCCTGCATAATAAGCTAATCTAACATTTGGTAATATCTCACTTCTTAAATGCGCACCTATGGTGTCCGCCAAAACTTCATTCAATATTACTTTTTTTTTCGTATCTACACCTTTTTCTACAGTTTGAAGAGCATTATTAAAATATTTTAAAAGTTCATCCACAAACTTGGCGTTTACTTTATCCGGAGAAACGGGCTGCGGTATAATATTTTCAAAATATCTTCGAGTACGTAATTTTGTTATGTCTTCTTCACTCCAGCATTCTGAGTATAATAATTTTTTGTAAAATATAGTGCTTCCTACGTTTGAACAAGTTGCTATGTTGTGAAATAAAAACAGATATATAATAAATAGCATTGCATTTTATTCGTTTGCTATGAATCACTGTCATTGTGACATTCACAATTCATAAATAAACAATGATAGATATAGTCTTCACTGTTAACTTATATTTTTTAAATATATTTATAAAAGAAGCGTTGAAATTAAAATTTATTTATTTTAATAAAACTACTAAATATACCATGCGTTGTTATAGGAATCTTAAAAATTAACCTGTCTAATTATAACTGTCCATGAGATACAGCCTGGTAACAGACGGATGAAAAAGTAATAGGGTCCTACTTTACTCTTTCAACTTTTCCTTTCTGTACTGTATATAATGGTTTGTACAGTTTATATTCCACAAAACTTCGTATGAACAACAATTCATTGTAAGATGTAGCTAAAAGGGAGCCGTAACTGATGTTAATAAAAGGAAGAAGAATAAAAAAGATGGGATAAGGGCTTTTTACAATTTAAAAGAATACGTTTTCTTCATTCTACTATTCTAAAAGATTCTTTCAAATATATTATGCATATGATATCTTAGATATAAACTAAATTGAGTTTCAATACGCAACAATACAATTCATTTATAAGAAATAAACTATATACTACCTTTCAAATGTGAAAGAAATTAATACTCTTTATTATTCAAACCACTCTTCGTTATATAGTGTTACAATAAAAGATCCTATTAAAGTTTTTTTCTTAAAACTGTAACTTAAAAAGGTCATGGGATGATTTTTTGAAACCACGTTGCTCTGGACGATAAATATAGATTAGTCTTACTGCTACATCGAGAGTCTTTTATTTTACCCCTACATTGTAAACATCATTAGAGTAGGGAATAATTGAGGTAATCTATACTAATATTATAAAGCGGAAGAGTTTGTTTGTTTGTTTGTTTGTTTGAAAGCGCTAATCTCCGAAACTACTGGTTCGAATTGGACAATTCTTTTTGTGTTGGATAGTCCAGTTATCGAGGAAGGTTGTGAGCTATATAACATCACGCTACGACCAATAGGAGCAAAGATATAGTAGTAAATGTGTAAAAAACGGGAGAAATTATTTCATCTTTGAAGCCTTCCATTGCGTACGCCGTGAAAACGGTTCAAGATACACAAAAAATATGTATTAAAGAAAAATAGCTCTTTTTATTATCTAAAAAACAGTCCGCGACAGTACATGTCTATCTTTTAAGATTAACTGACAAAAACCGTTTTTATGGTACCTAATTTGGTCGAAATATTTTGTTTAAGTTGTATCAACATAATAATATAAATCTTTATTTAAATAAACAAATAAATATGTTGTTGGTTAAGAGTACTTCATTGTGAATAAAAGGAACATAGGTTTTATCCTGAAAATTCTACGGGAACTCCACCATACCGAAAACCCCGCAAGAACGGGAACTGTGTGGGAAGAACCAAAAATCTGCCTGAAGTCACTATTCCACGCGGACGGAGTCGCGGCAAAAGCTAGTAAATAATATATTTCCAACTTAGTTTTACTTTTGAGCAAGTTTTTAGATCTTTTAGATACACTTTATACATTTATTACAAAGTTTTTTAATATTATACTTTTGTCCCTTAAAAATTGCCGTGAATCAAATCTATGAGCTTTACAAAGGGTTTTGAAAATACATACTATATTATTGTTCCATCTCAGTGTATTTATCTATACATTAATTTGTCTTCACATTTTCTATTTAACCCTTAAATGCGCGAATTTTGTTATTCATTTAAAATATTATTTTTTAATTGTATTAGGTTTTAAGATGTACCGAAAAAATAGTAAAAAAAATTATATCGACTTACACCCAATGAAAATTTAAAAAAACCGTATGTTGCATATCTGCAACAGTGCGCACTTGTAGGACAATACCATGTATGGTAAATTAGGTGAAAATTAAAAACTCAAAATAAATACATAAAGTTATTTATTTATTTATTGCTGATGAAATTTATAGAAACAATTATTATCATTGAAATGTAAAATCGAACAAATTTTTTCAAAATTCTTCTGTGTCATGGTTGACTTTATAGGTTCATAGCCATATTGAGCTGACCAGTATAACCGGAAGTTTGGAAACTTTGCAATAGAAGAATAAATTAGAATCCCAAGGAACTTATTGAGATCATTGCTAGTGATAACAAATGGATTGGAAAGATTTTTCTGGGTAGAATACAAATTACTCTCTGCCTTGATCTTATCCCTCAGTTCTTGAGAGAAAAAGAAAGAAAAAAATTGTACAGCGTCTCTAATTCTAACATGCTGTCAGGATATTGCAGTTGATAAAAATTTTGAATATCATCAATGGTGGTGAGGTTTGTGCGTCTCCACGTTACACGGCTTTGTCGTGGACGAGCTGTCCCATTCCGTTGATCAGAAGGCTGTGGCGTTTCACTCAAATTTTCTAAAATTGGGTCATTATGATTATCAAAAATAAGAGGTGGATCAACAGTACTACTTTCCACAGGTATATCCATATCTTCAACAAATTCTTCATCTTCTAAATCCGCTAATAACTGCCTATTATTCTCGAAGTAAACTTCTTCATCATCCTCTTCTCCTGCAGAGGATTCCATATCATCCTCAGACTGGTCCAGGTTCTGGAGGTAGTCCTCAATAACTTGATCATTCAGTCTTCTCGCCATTCTAGAAAAAAATACCATTAGACTTTAGATAAAATACGGTAAATATATCACTCAAAAATGAAATTTCTATGGAAGTAAATTCGCAATGTTGCACTTATGCAACAAACGGATTTTGAAGAAAAAAGTATATCAAACAATGGAATTTCCATAAAATTATTTATTTATTTTTCTTTTGATATTATAAGTAATATAAAAATAAAAAAAACAAACAACACTTACCTTATAGAATTATAAAACAACTGAATAACAATTTTACACTAATTGCTTTTTACGTTTACCCGCGCCCGCGATATTATAAATTGTGATTATGAAGTTTAGAAATTTGCAATCGACCCGCCAATCGAACTGTCAAAATAAATATAATTGTCATCTATAATCTATGGTAGTTTACATTCGGATACACGAAACGAAATCTATCAAATCTTTTGAATATTCGATATGTTGCAGATATGCAACAACGCGTGTTTAAGGGTTAAGACTTAAAAACAAATATTTCTAAGTAACGAGGTAGGTAGGTGTGCTTACAGTCAGAACGCTACTTCAAACTTTTGACATATGTCAATAATTTAACCGCAATTTTTGTTGCCTAATATTTCATATCTGTTCTTGTTTACTTCTTAGTTCTTAGTCAAAAGTGAAATGTTTATTTGTTAGCTTTTGTAAAAATCTCTCATTGAAATCAGTTTTCGAAATATAATTACAGTGTATAAAAAGTTAACATTCATTTAATCTTAAATCTCACAACAGAAAAATCTATGTTGTTATAGATGTATAAAATTAATCTATTTAAATACTAGATGCAGTGAGAGTTTTTCAAAATGTCTAGGGTATGAAGACTGCTTTTTTTATATAATTTCTCTTGTTAAAACATGCTTTACTATGATTTAATAAATGTCTGTTTCAGGATATCAGATCATTTTTTACAGTAAAAAAAGAGAAAACCAAAAAAGATGAAGACAGTGATGTTATACCAGAATCACCGAATGTACAAGTTACAAACAAGGTAAATAAAAAGAGAATATAAAACAAAGTACATGTACCCGGTTGAAATAATATAACTTTAAACGATCATGTACTAAAATATATACCATTTTAAATATTTTTTTTTTATATGTATCTATTTATTTTAACACAAATTGTTATAAATTATTATTATATGTTGTGAGAAGAAAAATCTATAGTATTTTTTCATTTAAAAAAATATCACATGTAGCAATAACATGACCCTAAAAATTTTTTTCACAGAAGAAACAGTCTCGTAAAAAAAGACAAATTCAAGAGGATTCAGATGAGGAAATATTTTCTGCACCAAATAAAAAAAAGAAGTCTCCTACAAAATCCTTAAAAGAAGTTAAAGCAGCTGACTTATTTGGTTCAGCGCCAATCAAAAGAACGGAGCCCATTGTAAAGAAAATAAAAAAAGAAACCGAGTTAACTATACACTCTGATGAAGAATTTGAACAAAGTCTTATACAGTTAGATGAAAAAATCAATCAAGAGATACAAGCAACTAAAGAAATAGCAAATGAAACATTAACAAACAATAAAGATACACTAAAAGATAAAAAAGATGATATACTAAAGGATAAAAGAGATGATATATCAAAAGATAAAAAAGATGAAAAATTATCAGTCAATGATGTTACAAATAACAAAAAGAGAAAATTAAATAAAAGTTTGACTGAACATAGTGATAATAAAGTTGAGGTGAGTAAGAAAATGAAGAAGGATTTTAGTGAGTTTATTGAGAATGGGGATGGCTTAAACACAAGCGAGCCCACACAGGAATCACCGGAAACAAAACAGAAGAAACGCAAACTGGACAAGAGTCTCAATGAATCAGGTAACTAGGAAAATATTAAATCTAAAAGTAAATAATCAAGAATAATATCACTATAGGAATTATATTGTAAATAATCAAGTCTTACATGTGTCTAATAATAGCTGTTTTCTCTGCTTATTACACTCAGTATGAACAAATGAAAGTACTTAAATTCTCTGCAAGTTATTTATGTTTTTTTAAGGTGATCAGAGAAAACCAGTAGGTGCATAAAAGTTTCAGAAAAGTTGTTGACATGTCTTTAATTTGATACAAAATTTTTCCAAATTGTGATGGGTCTCATATTAATCCTTCCGATAAGTACAATATTATAAGCAAAATCCTCCTGTATTAACATTGTCTCGATGACTAATTTAATGCAACTTATTACCAGGACTAAAAGATAAACACTTGTAGCAGAACACTGATGTAAGCCAACCAATATAAGCTTTCGCTGGCAGTGAACCAAATATATGTATAAGCATAATAGCACATAGCTCTAGTAAGCTATAGAAAATTTTCTGACACTCCATTAACTATCAGAACACAAAACCTTGCTCAAAATCTTTTACCTTTTTGATAAGTAAGAATACTATATGCATGTTCTTTTACTCACATCTGAATTTTCCGCATACATGGCGAAAAGCAAATATAAGGTTCGAGAACCCCTCAAGGCATAAAGCTTAACTGTTCCGTGCTATCTCGCTCTCCCCTCTCAATCTTTACCTACTGTCATATTCTGCGACCTGAGATTTATTCCTCTATACTTGTATATTATGTACATCATCTTTGTTTTTGAAGGCGGTCACCAGTAGACTGCTACACCATTCTTCTGAGATTATTTTTTATTGTTCATGCAACTTAAGTAACGTTCATACTTCTACCGGTATTACATCCGGTACAATTTTTCCATTTTTAGGCACTTGATCTACTTATCTATACTCACTATATCTCGCTCTTGTTTTTTAGTCATATCAGATGAGGAGCGGTATGAAAGAAAGAGACAATCAGCTGCCTTATATCAGAAGTACCTGAACAGATCCGGACCAAAACATTTAGGAACAAAGGAAATGCCCGAGGTATATAAATAATAATATAAAAAAGTATAGTTGCAGACGTGATATTTATTTAATATGCGGAATTCTTTTCAGGGTACACCCGATTGTTTAAAAGATTGTTCGTTTTTATTGACCGGTGTGTTAGATTCCTTTGAGAGGGATGAAGTTATCGCAGCCATTACCAAGTATGGTGGCGTTATCAAGAACGGCATCAGTAAGAAGGTGGGAAAAACATTACCACTTTCTATTTTTTTGCTACTGAGTAGACCATACTACAATGTATTATAATGTGATTATTTTTTTGTAGGTGACACACGTCATAGCTGGAGATGACGCCGGTCCAGCGAAATTGGCTAAAGCCCAAGAACTTGGAATAAAAATTATGAATGAAGACGAATTCTTACAGTTCATAAGGGATTCGTCTAACAAAAAGACCCCGCCTAAAGATGTAAAAAAGGAAAGTGACAAGAAAAAAGATAAATCAAGTGAAAAGAAAAGGGAAAAGGTAAAAAAATCACCACAAAATAACGAAATCAACGTGAATAAAGCTAAGGTTGAGGAATCTCCGAGAAATATCAAACAATCTGAAGTAAAATCGAATTTAAATAAAGTTGAATCAAAAGTAGAAAGTAAGGAACACACTAAAATGCCTGTTAAAAAGGATATTGTTAATGATGGTGAGTGTCAATATATTAGTCTTATATGTTTCCGATAATGTTGTATCTATAGCAAAAGAAGTCATTTCAGGAGAATTGAAGAAATCTTGCAGTACCGAGGTACCAAACTCCCTTATGTGGGTTGACAAATACAAGCCAAAGAGTCTTAAACAGATCATCGGTCAACACGGAGAAGCCAGTAATGTTAACAAGTATGAAAATCCTTATAAAATTTATTAAATATTTTTCTAAGACCATATATTCAGTCGACTGCCTAAATGTAAGAATAATATGAGCCTTTGATATGTGGTCAAATAATTAATATTTTTTCACGATCTATTAACAATTCCAGATTACTGAACTGGTTGAAAAAGTGGTATATGAATCGTAAGGCTAAGTTGCCGAAGCCGAGTCCTTGGGCCAAGAATGACGACGGCGGCTACTATAGAGCTGCGCTATTATCAGGACCACCTGGAGTGGGTGAGTGATGCTATTTGTTTTTTTTTTTTTGTAAACTGCCAGCACTTGCAAAAAAACTTAAAACCTCCTTTCATATTATCCCATATATTGTAGAATCCTATTCCGTAATTAATTAATTTCGATAATAATTTAACTTTATAGTTTTGATGTGTTCCGACGACGGTAAACACTTCATTCTTTTATACTAGCTTTCCGCCCGCAGCTTCACCCGCGTGGAGTTCAGTTATATCGTGTTTTTACGAGAACCTTTCAAAAGTCTGGGATAAAGACTATCCTATGTTCTCAAGGTCAACTCTATCATCTATGTAACAAATTTCATTAAAATCAGTTCAGTGGTTTAGGCGTGAAAGCGTAACAGACAGACAGAGTTACTTTCACATTTATAATATTAGTAGGGATATGATTTTAAATATGAGTGTGCAGATCCCTATTTTAATCTATTTCTATACTTTTATTACCAATCTATTTACAAATTAATTTAACTTGAGACCTGACATCATAATACATTTAATTAATTATATGTCTGTTTGGTTCCAGGTAAAACAACAACGGTGTCGCTAGTGTGCAAGGAGCTCGGTTTTGATACAGTAGAATTGAACGCCTCGGACACTCGCAGTAAGACGTTACTCAAGGAACAGCTGGGGGAGCTACTATCTACTAACACGTTGCAGGCGTATGCTACAGGTCCGTAATAATTAACGGGAATAAATCCTACTACCCTCAATAACATGATCAATAATGAGATCTAAGACTGCAAATTCATGTAAATGAAACTAATATTTCCTAATTACTATGCGTTATTTTATAATTTTCCCCGTCTGTCAGTGGTGTCTAAATACTCTTAGAAAGTACATATGACTCAGAAAAATCAGATTTTTTTTTAGTAGATTTCGAATCCACCCCCTCATGCACGAGAGGAGGACCTATAACCACAAGACCACCACTGACTGACAGACGGAGAAAGAAAACACCGTGAGGAAGCCTGGACTTATTTCACAATTATAAGTTTGAAATTACCAACCCGTGTTGAGCAAGCGTGTTTAATGGTCAAACCTTCTCCATGTGTGTAAGAGGCCTTTGCTCAGCAGTGAGCTCTGATTAGGCCGATGACGAACGACGAACGATTTTATTATTTGCAGCAACCGTGATCAAAAGACGAAAATCAAAACAATAAAATACGCATAGAAATCAGGAAATATTACTTTCATTTAACAGAATGAATTATGATTATTCTATTGATACAGCCAATTGTTGTTAATGTAATTATTCATCAATGTATCAGAATTTTTCTTCTTAATATTAGTATTTATTTTTTAAAACTTAGGTTGTGCGGGTAAGGGAGCGGTGTCCAAGAAACACGTCCTTGTGATGGATGAAGTGGACGGAATGGCCGGCAACGAAGACAGAGGTCAACATAATATTATTTTAAATTAATTAAATTTCATATTTTTCAATATTTATGTAATAATGTTATATTACGTATTATTCTTAAGCATTCTTAGGTTAAAGAAGTCACAGGTTCGAATCTTGATTCTATCAAATATATATTATCTATTTTAATTTTAATAAAAATATGTGATTGTTCTTTCATGTAGGAGGTCTACAGGAGTTAATATCACTGATCAAGACGACGTCTGTGCCCATCATATGTATGTGTAATGATAGGAACAGTGAGAAGATGAGGTCTCTGGTCAACTACTGCTATGACCTCAAGTTCACACGGCCACGGGTTGAACAGATTAAGGTTAAAAAATTATTAATATATACTATAATTATAGTACTCAAATATTGAAGCTTGGACGGTAGAGATGAGCGTTTAACTCGAATTAGATAGGCGTTAAACCTACACCTGGGTCGCAAGTCCCAGGCACTGTTGAAGCTCTTCTCACTACAACGATGGAACTGACAACTGCACGGTGAATCCATGGAATGCTATTGAATTTCGTCTCTGTATTTGGAATGAATGTAGCCAGTAGTGAATCAATGAATTTAATATGAATATTTAATTGAATTCATAGTAAATAGCACAAATTAGTTTATAAATGTTTTATTTGTACGAGGGGAGGTCAATAAGTTCGCGGAATGGAGGGGATGGAGGGGGTTGATTTACTCGTCCAGGTAGTAACTTGTTCAACACCTCATTAATAGTATATATACCAAGTTTGAACCAAATCGGGTCATTAACTTTTGCGTTGTTGACCTGCAAACGAGTGAATCGGGAAGAAGTCAGTGAGTATGGAGAAAATTGAACACCGCGCCGTTATTAAGTTCCTCACCTAGCAAGGAAAATCCGCTCAGAGGATTTTTGAAGAGCTGTTATCAGTTTACGCGGACTCTGCTCTTGGTAAAACCATGGTTTACAAGTGGCATGGACTTTTTAAACAAGGAAGAGAGTCCATTGAAGACGATCCCCGCTCCGGACGACCGATTGAGGCCACCACACTGGAAATCGTCGCAAAAGTAGAAAAACTTATATTGGAAGATGCCCGGTTGAAGAAGAAACGGCTTGGAGCAATGGTTAGAGTATCCGAAACAAGCATTTTAAATATCCTACATCATCATCTTGGGATGACTAAGGTCAGTGCAAGATGGGTTCCAAGAATGCTCACGCCACTTCAAAAGAGCGAGGGTGTCGAGTGTTCTCGCCAGTTTTTGAAGCTCTGTGGAGAGAATAAGGTCGAAGTTATGGACCGGATTTTTACTGGTGACCAAACCTGGGTTCACCACTATGAACCTGAATCAAAGCAAGAATCGATACAGTGGCATAAAAAAGGCACAGCTCCTCCAAAGAAGTTTAAAGTGTCACAATCGGCCGGAAAGATCATGGCGACTGTCCTTTGGGATACAGAAGGTATTTTGCTGATCAATTATAAAGATCGTGTTGTGACTATAACGGGACAGTACTATGCTTCTTTATTATATAGATTGAAAGAAGTTGTCAAGGAAAAAAGAAGAGGAAAGCTGTCAAAAGGTGTGCTCCTTTTGCACGACAACGCAACAGTCCACACGTGCCATGTTGCGAAGGCTGCCAATCACCGATGTGGATTCGAAAAATTACACCGCCCACCTTACAGTTTAGACTTAGTCCCCAGCGACTATTATTTGTTTACAAAAATGAAAAAAAAGCTGCCAGGAAAAATAATTGAGAAGTCAAGTCCGCAATTTCGGCCTATTTTGATAGCCAAGATAAATAATTTTTTTCGATGGTATTAATAAATTATTTGTAAGATCCGAAAAATGTATTAAGGTTAAGGGAGACTATATTGAAAAGGAAAAATAGTTTCGTGTTAAATTTCAACCCCCTTCCCGCTCATTCCGCGAACTTATTGACCTCCCCTCGTATATGTATCATCACGATATTCTGCTATTTCGTAATATTATTGTTGATCCTTGTCTGAGAAATGTTTGCATTCTCAAAGTGACTTGTAATATTGAAACTACCCATACGACAGCTCATAATGGACTTATAAACCTAACTTTTATATTATAGTATTGATCCAAATAAATCTATAAATATAAATAACATGTATATGTAATTTTACAGTCGGCTATGATGTCAATCTGCTACAAAGAGGGCATCAAGCTATCTGCTGAAGCACTCTCTCAGCTGATAGTGTCATCTGGTCAGGATGTAAGACAAACACTTCATCTGCTTAGTGTATGTGCCTCCGGACTTACCAACGATGAGGCAAAAGCTGCCAGGAAAGATATCAAAATGGTAAGCTTTTAATTATCATTGACAAATTATTTTTTATTTATTAAATCATGTCACATAAACATACAAACATACTAATATTGCAATCTTCAGTATATGGTATTTTTTTAATGTCCCGTATTTGCAAATATTATGTTTCAATTCGTCTTAAATTTAAAACCCACCATACAGATTACTGAGTTTCACAAAATGACAACTACCTGCCATATTCCTAGTAGGTAGTAGTGATTAAAAATATGTTAACAGTAAAATTATTTTATATTTTCGTCTACTTCTCAAAATGCTGCAAATACGTAGTTCTGTGGATCATAATCATAAAATTTTGTAGTGTATAATTTTTTACTTGTGTCTTAAAATACAATAGTTTTAATAAAATTGTAGTAAGTAGACTGTAATTATTTGGATTATAAAGAAACTAATATATATTTTTGAACTCAGGGTCCATGGGAGGCGATCCGCAAAGTATTCAGTGCCGAGGAACACAAAACAATGTCCATCATTGACAAAAGCGATCTGTTCTTCTGTGATTACTCAATCATGCCATTATTTGTGCAAGAAAACTTCCTCAATGTTACACCGCATTGTCCAAAGTATATTATTCCCTCCATAGTATCATGCATGATATAATAATAAATAAAAGATTTGTATACTCAATTAAATGTACTTTTTCTTCCCAGGAACGAGATTTTAGATCGTTTTAGTAAAGCTGCAGATAGCTTAAGTCTAGGGGACTTGGTGGAGGCGCGGATAAGAGGAAGTCAGGCTTGGAACCTACTACCAACACAGGTATTGTAATAATAACTTATTATGAATATTGTGTTACAAGTGGCGCCATCTGTATCGTACTAATTATAATATACTATACAATATAATCCTTAGAATTATTTTTATGACTGATTTTAATTAATTGTAATACTGAAACATTATAATTTTGTAATGACTACAATTAAGTATCATCGTATATTCGAAAACTATAAATACTGGCTTTAGCCAATTTGTAGGACATTACTGGAAGTAACGCTGAACAGTGACAAACAAATCTAAAACTGCACCTCCAACAATTGCTTATTTGATGAAAAGTTATGAATATATTTATATTACAGGTACATAATAATGATATTATAAATATTTCCTATATATTTCTAGGCGATGTTCAGCAGTGTGATCCCCGGACATCACTTATCTGGTCATGTGTCGGGGCAGATTCAGTTTCCTTCATGGTTAGGTAAAAATTCCCGAGCAAACAAAATGAACCGCTTGTGCCAGGAAATACATGCGCACACAAGACTCAGGTGAGACAAAATATAAACAAATATACTGAAAGAAAACTTAATACCATAGTTTTAGGAAATAAATTCAAATAGGCCTTTGGTAATAAATATTTTATATAAACACATAATTATATGTAGATTTTTTGTAATTTTAGGTAAAACATCTGTATCTGGCTGTAAAAAAATTATTGTTTATTCTTATTTATATAATGTACTACCAATATAAATAAAATATTTCTATTTCACAGTACATCCGGTTCTAAATCTTCAATATTCCTGGACTATTCAACTCACCTACGTGATGCTATTATAAATCCCCTTATTCAAGACAAAACAGACGGCATTGAAAATTCCCTTAAAGTTTTAGAATCATATTACTTGCTACGAGAAGATTTGGACTCTCTTGTGGAATTATCATTGTGGCCGGGCCAAAGAAATCCTACAGTTTTAATTGATTCTAAGGTACTCATAAATATCTCAACTAAACAATGATCATAGTGATAATAAATGTATAAAAATTATTACTATTAAATGAAAATTTACTAAATATGTCTTTATAGGTAAAAGCTGCAATGACTCGCACTTATAATAAAAAAGCTAGTGCATTGCCTTATGCCGCTGCCAGTATTAAGAAAGGTCGAGCCACTGAAGACGGGGAGTTATCACATGAGGAAGACGACACAAGTGATGTTGAACTTGATGCTATGATTAAAGTTAGTACTTAATATTATATATCTGTGTATTATGGTCCCAATAGTATTTGTAACATTATTTAATATATTTTGTTTTAGAAAAAGAAAGAACCCACTAAAACCTCAACAAGTAAGACAAAAGTTAAACAAGAGGATTCGGCAAGTACAAGTAAAGCGGCTGCAAAAAAGAAACCAGCTCCCAAGCAAAAGAAGAAATAACACAATCTTCACTTGATATTTCGTGATGCCTATTTAATACAAAATCATGTCCACTAAAACAGTTTTAAAAATAAGTGTTTTTGTTAAATATTGTTATTATAATACTTAACTCTTCAATGAATAAAATAAAAATTAAATTTGAATGTTTTTTTTTCAATAACCTTTTAATAGCTATTTGACTTAGTTTTCATTAAACATTCTGTAGGCATGAAAGCAGCAGTATTTTTAATTTATATTATACCATTCAAAGGGATTTGAGGCACTCATTAATAAAAGGGTCTTTGATACAGAAGAATTAAAACACCATGTCAATAAAAGAACTGTAATATTACATAATGACAACTACATTTTCACTTCACTTATAATACAAAAGTATCTTAGTTTTTCCGGATCTTTTCAACTCGTGGGTCATCGGGTCTCATTACAACATAAATATTTTTGTATCTTTTGTTGTCCCCATCACTTTTTACGTAATTGTAACACCCGAGCGTGCCCATCGCGATACCAACAACGGCTAAGCCAGTAGAAGCCAATATTTCAGGGATTTCATTCCATCCCTGTTTTAATAACTGACCAATGGTCCGACTAGTCGCAGGGGCTGCCATTTATTTGATCTATTTACTTTCGTGTAATAAAATAAATATTAATTTTCGGTCCTTCACAACGAGTAAATGTCAAAATAAAATGGGTAGAATTAAGACCATATTGAATGTCATTCCATATGTCAGCTGTCAATAATTTATAAATCAAATTTTGTATTTCATAAGGAAGTTTCAAACTATATAATTTTCACTTTATTATATAAAATATATGTATAATAAAATAGATCTAGTATCCGAGCCATAAGATTCAATTGAAGATGTATTTGACAGTTCATAAAAAATTGGATTTTAATTCAACATTGGAAATTAAGTTTCACTTAATGTACAAAAAAATAGATTAAGAAAATCAAACATACTAGATATCATTATTTAATAATATAATAACAAATATTTCAGTTCACAACTCTTTACTATACTAAAAAGGTTTCATGGTCGGGTTGAGGTTGTCATTTTCAAATGATATTTAAAAAAGTATTGAAAATTAAATCATTCCTTTGTTACGATCTTTGCGTATAAAATATAAAGGAGAAAGTCAAGTATAATTTTATAACACCAACAACATGAGAGAGTCCAAAATAAAAGGTCATGCAGTTGACTTTGGTAATACAATTGGCGGATTGATAAGAAAAGGATGGTGGGAAATCCCTGAAATAATGGGTGCCTCATGTTTTGCTATACTGGGAATCATAATGGGAACCGTTGCTGTCTATAACTATATAAAAAATGATGGTGACAATCGTGAGTTCAAACAAGTTTACATGATAATGCGCCCTGATGACAAAAGGGTGCCTCTTCTAAAGAATCCAGTCTTTACCGAGTATAAAATATAAAAGAAAGATTGTTTATGGCAGAAGGTGTTTTTGTGTAGACAAGTTTATAGAAAATAAATAGTATCTATTACCATTACGTTATACTGTATTGTGTATACAAAAATAGTACAAGAAATGTAACAAAATATTTAGACTTAAATTATTTTCCAAATCTTAAAAAAGGCTTCTCTGCGAAGACTGCTGGTGACAACAAAGGTCAAATTTGAATAGTGTAGTCTATTTGGATACTTCTTGGCTCCCAACATGTTGCCATTGAGAATTGAAGAAGTATAGAAATAATTTGAACTTGAAATCCTTAACTTTCCAGAGCTCTAGTTTAGATGCTTCTATAACTTAATAACTTGCAAAAACCCCACAAACCTATTTATTGAGCTATAGTGACAAAAGTATAGCAATTAAATTTAGTAAAATTTTAAATTCACTAGCATACAAAATAAAAGTCAACCCTAAAACTATTCCTAAGTCGGAAAGATTGCCTTTAAGAACTATGACGCTTCAGCGCTCATTCTACTTATAATCCCAAGTTTTTAAGTATATGGTCGTGTTGCTTGTGATTTTCATGGCCTTCTTACTTCTCTAATTTAATAAGTTCGTATTAAGTATTACTCATACTGTTACGCCGACGTTGGGTTTAATCGATTACAAAAAGCAGGGTCTTATAGTAATTATGACGGTTGGTCTGTAGCGGAACGTTTTCATGAGCGGTCAACATAAATTACAAAAGATTTGACTTTAAACAGAGTTTTTCATTAGAATAGTGATCCATTTCAATAGACATATTTATTACAAAACATTCAAACCGAGGGATAAAATTCAAAGGATTAAAGTTTATGAAGGAAACACGACTGGTTAAAATGCCAAACTATCTGACAAAAGTAAAAATGTAGATATAGAAATAAAGCGTCTGTGATAGTTTTTTGACAAATATATTTTTGAAATAAAAGTTAAGTTTTTTAAGATTTTTTTTGAGAAAATACTTGGTCTTTGAGTCCAACTTGATTTTAAAACAGCCGTGTATAACTTACTCTACACGACTCTAGATTGTTTTTATAATATGTAAATATGTAATTAGAGCATTTATTACAGATTTGTACAAATATTTTAGTTAATTATGGGTTTGAATTCGACTCTATTATATGAAAACAGGAATGTACCCTCTTACCTCATTCTAGTCTTCCCTACAGTTACACTGGAAAATTTATTATTTCTCCAACTATCCTGACTTCTTATATTTCCCTCTTAATTTAAGTTCACCTCGCCTAATCGCTCTTTTCGTAACATATATGTAGTCACACAATTACCAACTTACTAATCTTACTCAATTAAAACTTGCATTATCAAAAAATAGTTTCGGAAAAATATAACATTTCTAAAACTGTAATAAAAAATTAGCGGAAATATTTCTTAATGTAGACACAGCTTTATTCAATGTCATATGTTTTATGTTGACTTTATGTTTGCAACATTTTATATAATTCACATTGATATTTGAGTTTGACAGTGACTTATTTGACTTTGTAAAGGTCATCAAGTTTTCTAACCGGAGTCAAAGTTATATACAAATACGTGTTTATTCTGGTTTAGTATTTGGTTATAAGCGATTGTGCCTTCAAACGTAATCATGGGCTCCCGGTTTCAAGTTGTAGAACAAGGCCCTCCTATCGAAGTTTTTCAATTGAATAAGGCTTTCACTGAGGATTCTTATAAAAATAAAGTCAATCTTAGCGTTGGAGGTAAATTTAATTGTTTCATTTTATGTTTATTATGTAATAATTATATCAATTGAGCCGGTGAAGTAATGTAATTATTTATTTTTATGAACAACATGAAAATATTTTTTTTATTGACTACGAATTCAAGTATAAAAGTTTCAAAATGTTTTGAGTTTTGAGAAACATTAAAATTACGGATATTTGATACTTGTGTAATGAAATTTATAAATTATAAAAAAATAATAGTTCAAAAAATATTTTCCTCGCTTTATCTTTATATCTCTAATTTAGCCAGACAGATAATTTAAATTATTTATGATGTAATGATAATAATTATTAATTTCTCATAGAAACAGACAAAAATAATAAAATAATTAAAACAATATTTAATTAACATACTATAAGCCTGAAAAATATGCTAATTAAAATAATGCTTTAAGCCTACAGAGATGAGAATGGCAAGCCCTGGGTTCTGCCAGTTGTTCGGAAAATGGAGAAACAAATGGCAGAAGATGAATCTCTATTACATGAATACCTGCCTGTACTTGGTAAGTGCTACTTGTTTAATTATATATCTATATTAGAGACAAAACCTCTCAGCATTCCATATATTCACCTTGCGGGTGCCAGGTCCATATTTGTAGGGAGAGGAGCTTCAACAATGCCTGGGACTTGCGACCCAGGTGTAGGTTTATAATTTTGCAACTCTTAGAAGTATGTACTTATACCAGTTTCTTAATCGTAATAATTGATGTAACTTACAAAAACATGTTTTTTAATAGGTTACAAAAAGGTTATCTTGTTGTTTATGAACATAAAATATTTTTACTGTTACAAATTAAATAATAATTGTTTTAAATTAAATATTATATCAGCTGATCACAGACTGTAGTAGAATACTTTTTATTATATTTTGAAATGCTTTATTCAGCTAACTTAAACATAAATAAGGTGTATGAGTAAATATTAAAAGGTTTTTTTTTGGGCAATGTTCTGTTTTATTTCAGCAATTATAAACACAATTACTCCTCATTACAGTCAATTTATTTTTAGAATGGAAACATTTCAGTGAATTGAATATTAAATAGTTATATTAATGATAACAAGATTCCACAATTGATTTTTTATCGTGGACTCTTGGCCCTGGCAAGTACCAATGTGACTTTTTCCAAGTCATATGCACTTTCTAAGAGTACTTAGACACCACTGAGAAACATTGAAGGAAAACATCGTGAGGAAACCTGGACTTATAATTTCACAATTATAAGTTTGAAATCACCAACCCGTTTTCAGCAAGCGTGGTAATTAATGCTCACACCTTCTCCATGAGAGAAAGAGGCCTTTGCTCAGCAGTGGGCTCTGATAGGCTAACAAAAAATTTTAATACTCCTTCCTTATTTAAAATGTGGATATGAAATCAGAACAGCTTCTTTTTTTATCAGTGTTCTACTATATGTAGCTATATTACAGATTCCTTTTTAATTGTTGTCTTATACATTTTTTTATATTACTTATCTGTATAAAATTCTTTTAAATATATTCCTATTTCATAAGTATATATAAAGAAGTTATTCTAACAAAAAAAATCTCTTTCGTAACCATATATCTGGCATACAAATCTGTACTCTTGCACAAATAGTATTTACATTAAAAAAATGACACTTCAGTTGAGTGCTTTTAACGATGTTAATGTATGAAACGTTATGATCTGTTATCAGTTATTATAAATGTGGATTATTTTATCTTTTACATTAAGCAATACGATTATATGTAGATATATACTGATCTGTGATACTCAATAGGATTATAGTATCTCGTATCTAGAAACTTGTAGATTTGACATTAGATTTTCGCGCGTTTTCGCTTGCGTGTTTAAAAAATTACTGAGGTCTTTCAGTTCATATAATATCTGTAATCTGTACAAAATGTAAATCTCTCATTCCAGCGATATCTTTATAAAAAAAAAATATACATATTTATAATAATCGCTTCTTCAGTTTTAGCGTCATCATACACTTAAAATAACATTTTTCATGTAAATGTAATTAAAATATATTCTCTCGTTATAAGTTATGGTCCGTATCTTATTTTCATAATTGTAGTACAGTTATGGTTACATGTTTTATATGATAATGTTTAATAGTAGGTACTGTGCAAAAAATAAATATAAAGGTCGAAAAACTTATATATTTATCTTAAACAAAGTAACGAATGAGATAAAATGAATAATACAATGACAACGAATTTCTTCGCTTTTCCTAAATAAATTTAATATAAAAATTGTAGCGATTGCTATGTTTGTTACTCGTCTACTAATTTTTCGAAATTCTCTTAATTATATGACTTTGATATAAAGAAAATCATATTAAAATATTTTGTAATTTAAAATAAAATATATAGCAATTAGTTTGCACTAAAAATAATCCTGATTACATAAAAATAAACTCTATGGTAACACGAATTATAAAAATACAATTTACTTTGTTGCGAATGTTCTATTCTTGTCAGTAAACACTATTTAGTGCCAATTGCCAACTGCATATTTATAAATACACTATTCTAATAATGTCTGTCCACCTTCTCGGATGAATGACATTTGTATTTTGTCTATACATTATTATAACAACAGATTAGGTATGGAATATAGCATTTTTATAAATACTTCTAAAAAGTATGTTGTAGAAGCACTTTTACATATTCCTAAAATTAAAAAATAACTTAACTTTGTAGATATATGTATATACTTGTGTATTTTTATCTCTAAGTTACACAGTTTATATATTTTGATACCAGGACTCGACGCTTTCACTGAGGCTTCCGTCTCTATGCTGCTTGGAAAAGACAACCCTGCCATAGCTGAGGGCCGTGTATGTATCAATTTTATTTGACAAACTTGTTAAAGTAACCTTTGCTTGCTAAACTTGTCCAATTTATCGTAGTCTGATAGCAGATGATATATAGCTTTTCTTGTTAAATAAGCTATCTAGCACTGAAGGAAATTTCAAAAAGGACCCAACAACTTTCAACAAAAAAAAAAACAGTCCTCTGTCCTTATTTCTGCATACAAATATGTATATGTTATACAAAAAATTAGTGACTGGACAAATATAGTATGTATATATTTCAGACAACAAAACCAAAAAAACTAATTAATTCTGATCGTAAATAATTTAAGTCTATCGCTAGATATACAGATAGAAATATGTGGAATGTCTATCATCTATCTGTTCTTATATAATTTTAGTTATGATTATTATCAAACAGGCATTCGGTGTCCAAACTCTGTCTGGAACAGGCGGTCTTCGTGTCGGAGCTGAACTCCTCAACAAGCACCTGAAGTACGATACGTTCTACTACTCGAATCCTACTTGGGGTAAGAAATATTCCCCTACTAATTACAATAACGCAATCGCTATCATTATTTGTATCCCAATTTGTTCTTATACATCAAATTGTTTTTGTTTTGTTTATATATTTAAATGTATTGTTAGTTTTAAATATGTTTGTTTCGTATTTATTAGCCATGATCTGTTATTATTGCACTTGTCGCTGACCTTACAATGTCATGTGATGACGACAATTCACACTCAAAGATTATATAGAGAAGAGTGACGCATACAAAAAAAATATATTGTATTTTTTTGAATTTAGAACCATTAGGGTTCCGTATCTTGATTGGTTAACCCTTGGATAGGTAGCGTGATCACTCTGTCCTCCCATTGGTCAAGTCTTACTTCGCCAAATGTTATCTAATAAAGATAAGACTATTTATTATCTTACTATATCGATTATTATTAACGCTCGCGATATAATCAAAGTGTGTGGGGGACGTGACATTGACCTATAATTTAAATCTCAAAATATATTAAACTTACGTTTCGTAGTATTTTTTTTAAATAATAATAAATAAATTTATAACAAGGAACTTACCCGCTAACCTCCATCGGTGTTTAGAAATAACTTTCTAAGAGAAATGTTGAGATTGTCCTTGAACTAAGTTTACGCTTCATAGCTCTACAATTCATTTATAATTATTTATATTTCTTAAATAAATTATCTGTTTCCTCTACTTAACTATTTGTTTGAAAACAATTCAGTTCAACTCTTTTCAATTTTAAAATGTTATTTCGATGTAATCAAACGATTTTTATTACACCATTGTTTATTTGACTTCGGTGTTAAAAAACAATTTAAATTTTTAATGGCTCTCAGATATGTTTTCTGATAACACATGCTTTTGCACGCGATGTCGTTTGTCGCGAATTCGCTTTTGTTATCAGAGAGAAATATTGTGTGTAAAAAATTTATGTGATAACCGATCGACTCTGTCACATGACTTCATATAAAATAATGATTTTTTGGGATAGAAACACCCAATTTTTTGGGATAAATTATATCATATACCTATATGATATTATATTTCATTGTAAGTTTTGTCACAATTCTTTATTTTTTGGGCGAACCTTTCAAATACCTAAACACACATCCATCTACATATATGAAAAGTGTCGCGTTTTTTATAAGTAGGATGTAGGAGAAATTAGGACGAACGCGATGATTCATGGCGGGATGCTTGTCATTTATACGATATATATATATAGTTTTTAAACTGTGTTTAATGTAATAAAATTATCTGTTTGTCTGTTATACATATATTACTTACAGCATCTTTTTAAATACAATTAAGTCTTTAATTATCGAACAATATCATGGAAAATTGGAAACTTTAGCTTGGTTGTTTACTTTTTAATATTTTTACCAATAATATATTAATTCAAAATTAAAAAATAATTGTTTTGTTTTATAAATATTTTGATGTGGTTAAAAAATTACACGCGAACTCATTAGAATATTTTCTACAAGAATTTACAACATATTAATCAAGGTTCTACTGTCTTGTAGTTTGAAAAATTTTCCATGAATAAAGCAATATTACATTATTTCTTCTGTTCCATACACAATTTACTCCTGTATTTCTATTTCCTCGCATGTAAGACCTAAATACATCCCTTACAAGGCATATTTACTCACACACAAGAGAACAATAAGTTTTGTCGTATATAGTTTTAATGACGAATAATAAATAGACATTACCAACATTCTTTTTCACAAAGTACCGCAAAATTTTACATATATTTCCATTATTCCTACAGAAAACCATCACTTAGTGTTCGTAAACTCTGGCTTCACGAATCCAAGGACGTATCGCTACTGGGACGAGAAGACTCTCTCTATAGACTTCGACGGTCTCATTGAGGATCTGAAGAACGCTCCGGAGAATTCCGTCATACTATTACACGCGTGCGCACACAACCCTACGGGCATTGACCCCAGCCATGAACAGTGGGAGAAGATCGCTGACGTCATGGAGGTCAGATATATCTTCAAATAAATCCTTAATATTTTAGGATTAAATTCCATTGAAATCTGCGAACGCAAAAACCTAAGACTATAGAAACAGTGAAAAGACGAGTATGTTCTAGGATATATATTTAATTATTGTTCGTACAAAATGATGTCAGTAGTAAATTTGGGGCTAGCTAAATCTAGAAATACACGTATATAATATATTTAGAATTAAGTTAAAATATTGTTTCGTAGAAATCCAATCGTCATAAATATACCTTCTCACTTATATGTAGTATTAGTAGAGTCGTATAACAGATAAATGAAACTAATATTTTTGATGACTACGCATAAAACTACATATTCCCTCCATTTCGTTTACTTTAATGCAACCGTGATTACAGGCAGACTAGATGAGAATGTCTTTTAATGTAATCCGAAAATATTAGTTTCATTTGAATTATACTCGCGAAAGTCTTAAACTTCATTATCGTATAAGTAACAGATGGCAGCACAGTCAGCAGTTTAATAATACGAAAAAAATCAGTATTCTCATTAATCAGTATATAATCATTCAGTATATAATTCAAGTTATTTTAAATCCAGGAGAGGAAGTTGTTCCCGTTCTTCGACAGCGCGTACCAGGGCTTCGCGTCCGGAGACCTTGACCGTGACGCGTGGGCCGTGAGGTACTTCGTTAAGAGAGGCTTCGAGCTGGTCTGCGCACAGTCGTACGCTAAGAACTTCGGATTATACAGTTAGTTACTATTACATATTACCATAGACATATAATAATAATCATTAAATTATTACCCTTATAGGCCCTTAAAAGGATATAGGAATGTTAATTTTCCAATAATAGGCTAAGCAGTCAGTCATTTCCGAGTTATTAAAAGTTATATATATATATGTATATATATATATACGTATGAGAATCGTAGTGGCCTAGTGGTTAAAGACCCGCTTCTCATGCATAAGGGCGCGTGTCCGAAACCTGGCAAGTAACAATGTGATTTTTCCGAGTCATATGTACTTACTAAGAGTATTTAGACACTACTGACAGAGACGGTAAATTAAAACATAGTGACGAAACCTGAGCTTGATTTCCAATCATAAGTTTGAAATCGCCAACCCGTCTGAAGCAAGCGTCTTGATTAATGCTCAAACCTTCTCCATGTGAGAGGAAACCTTTGCTCAGCAGTGGGCTCTGATAGGCTGATGATGATATATGAGTATAAATCTAAGTGTTTATTCCCAGACGAGCGTGTCGGTAACCTGACGGTCGTGTTGTCTGAGTCCAGTCACGTGGCGCCGCTCAAGTCACAGCTGACGTGGATCGTGCGAGGGATGTACTCCAACCCTCCGGCGCACGGGGCGAGAGTTGTCGCTCAGGTGTTGCGGAACGATGCGCTCTTTGATCTGTGGTGAGTGACAACCCTAGTACTAGTATGAGTGATCATCATGACCATTTGACAACCCTGTATAGCATGGATGTCCTATTTGACAACCCTGTACGTGGTGACCATGTGATAACCCTATAGCAGTACTCTTAATATTGTGATAAATGGCAACCATAGCAATTCAATGAGTATGTTAATTATTAGATTTTTTTTCTAATCCTTATGTAACTGTTTTATTCCAGGAGAGATCACATCAAGTTCATGTCGTCGAGGGTGATGCAGATGAGAGAAGCTCTAAGGGCGGAACTAATTAAGTGAGTCCATTTTAATACTCTACAATATTATGATTTGTTTTCATAAGAAAATAATTTTGGGACATTGCGAACCTTTAAAAGTTAAAGTTAAATTTAATTATTATTCCTGAACTCACAATAATTTATATGACATAAAGAACTGAGGTCGATTTGCTTCACGGTCGCTCAAGCGGATTTTTTTTAATATGCACATTCATCGTTCAACCTTGAAAATAAAATTGTTTGCGTCATTCTACATATCTTCGTGCCCAACATATTAATATCTCTCATTCCCATAAAAATAATCTCTTTTCGACCATAGGTTTACTAACTCTGTGATATTCCCCAGGTTGGGCACCCCTGGCAACTGGGACCACATAGTCAAACAGATCGGTCTGTTCTCATACACGGGTCTGAGCCGTCGTCAATCTGAGCATCTGATTCAAGAACACCACATCTATCTATTAAGGACTGGTCGTATTAACATCTGCGGCCTGAACCCCTCCAACGTGCAGTACGTCGCACGCGCCATCAACGACGCCATCACCAAGTTCCCTACAGACTAGTAATTTTATTTTTATTTAATCGTCAGAGCGATGTATAGTCTGAGGAGTTTGACACTGGCAGCTTGCGACGCATTTATGAAGATATATCGCTCACGCAATCGTATTTAGAATGTAATGACGATTATAGCTTATATCGGTTCCTTAGTATTTTTATATATCAAATTTCGGATTTGTATCTATAATTTTTTGACACATTTTATTAAATTACCTAGTGAGTAAATTTGTAAAGATTTACATTTTTCTAGATGTTTTACAATGTAATTGCATTTTAGTTTGTATACTGGCAACACCATTATTAGTTCTGTAGTTAATGTTCGAAAAACATTAGTAGTAAATCATATTAAACTGGCAACACTGCCGTATAATGTGTATAGAAGTATTCGCCTTATTGGTCGGTATTTTACATACTTGTATTCAGTATTAAAAGCTACATTGCGAGACCAAAATATTAATAAACACCAATTTATATAAGGAATATATTAATATTAATTTTTCTTTCTCTTCAACATCTCATCAACCACACTTGTAACTGCATTTTGCTATCAAATAGCCTGTTTTCATTTATTTAGTTATTGTGATGCAAATATATAAATCTCTGTTATTATGTTTTATCATTCATAATATCCAAAAATTTAGAAAATTTCATCGTAAAAATTGGGTAATTTTATTTTTGTTTTTCAGCGAAATTCTGGCAAAATTGTAACAAGACGAATTGGCAATTATCGAATGGGTATGTGGAGGGATAGAGGTGATGGAAAAATATTGACCAATTACTTGCATAATAATTTTGAATATAACGAAAAACAAGATTTTTAATACATCATGCTTTTGTGAAAAGACCAATAAATTTTTACTTTTATTTTTTTACTTACAATTAAAAAATAAAGATGATAATATAAAATATATATTTTTATAATAATAGTAACAGTATGTTAGGTGTCCATAGCTTCAGTGTTTGATTCGGTCTTGACCCGTTGACCAAAACGATTCATAACTGCAAAGAAAATTATAATACATCAGTTGTGGGTAGTTAAAATTATGCAATACTATTGACGCGCCCCGGCGCCACACGGGTGCAATACTAATACTATACAGGGTGACTGGTGAATTACTATCAATATTTAAGGAGCATACTCGGTACATGATTCTCATTCGAATTATGTAAAAAAAATAGGTACTTAATTTTTGACAAAATTTCCGTATAAATAAATAAAGTGTTGACACGTTCCAAGTGTTCCTAGTGTGGACGCGTACGGCGGCGTGCTGATACAAAACCACGCCCCCGCTGCGTATGTGTGAGTGTGTGTGTATACCTAATCTGTAGGGTGTTCACACGATGCGTAATTTATTACATAACTTTTGGTTAACTTTACTTAGAAGTTTATTAATATTTATGTTATATTAATTTTTATTTTGTCATATATGATCGTCAACTACCACGTCCTCAAATATCGATAGTAATTCACCAGTCACCCTGTATACGCTACAGAAAAACTAATGTTCTAAATAGTATACAGGGTGACTGGTGAATTACTATCAATATTTAAGGATCATACTCGGTACATGATTCTCATTCGAATTATGTAAAAAAAATAGGTACTTAATTTTTGACCAAATTTCCGTATAAATAAATAAAGTGTGTACACGTTCTAAGTGTTCCAAGTGTGGACGCGTGCTGATACAACAACACGCCGCCGCGCGCGAGTGTGTGTGTGTGTGTATACCTAATCTGTAGGGTGTTCACACGATGCGTAATTAATTACATAACTTTTGGTTAACTTTACTTAGAAGTTTATTAATATTTATGTTATATTAATTTTTATTTTGTCATATATGATCGTCAAATATCACGTCCTCAAATATCGATAGTAATTCACCAGTCACCCTGTATAATACTTAGTACATTATATTGAATAATCTCGTAAGGTTGTCTTCGTTGGCAATTTAAGCGGAAAAAGAATTATTTACGACATCACATTATAAACCTTAAAAATAACAGTATTTCTCTACTATGAAATGAATTTATTATACACTAGCTGACCTGACAGACCTCGTACTGCCTCAATCGAGAAATAAATAATTTCTTATTTATTTTTTTGGAGTTTACCTTTAAGCCATAAATCTCATTGGATGATTGACATATTAGTTAGTTGTTAAATCTAATGTCAAAAAAAACGTTTGTATGAGAAATACAAAAGCGCTGTTTTTAGGGTTTTCCCGAAAATTAAACAATTTTTTTCAGCTTTTAAACCTTCCCTGAACCTCCACGAACATTTCAAGACTAAGATAAGATAAATCCGTTCAGTCGTTCTCGAGTTTTAGTGAGATTAACGAATAGCAATTCATTTTTATATATATAGGTATAAATCGTCCTCTTCAATCAAATTATATTATTATACATATAAATCGTCCTTTTCAATCACTCTAAGTATCAAAGAAATCAGCATCAAAATCCGTTGAGAAGTTTTAAAGATTCAAGCATACATACATAGAGACACAGAAATCGACTGTTTTATACTATGTATTGCTACGAGGCTAAGTGCTACGAGTACCTTCATCATTATTAGTGAGATCCACCATCTCGATGTAGCACTCCTTGTTGTCTCCGCCCACCGCTACGGCGAACGGAGCCTCGGGACACTGAGCGGCGCATAGAGCCTGCCCTACCCTGTTGGTGCGCTCACTGATTTGTAGGGGTGTGGGACTGAAACGAATAAAATTATTATTAAACAATTAAAACTTTACATGAGGGAGGCAGTTATATCAACTTAGTATAGTTTAATAGTATTATATAACAGATTTATATGAGACAGTAAAAGAAAGTTAGAGGGCTTATACCTCTAACAAATAGAATTGATGGTAGATATGATCACATATTTAAAGTGTTTCAATTTTAGCTTCTCATAATTATCATTTAAGTCGAATGTATATACTATATCATATGTGTATACATGTATGTTTTTGTTTATATCACTTTCAAATCTGTATCTTATTGTACCATTACATTCCTTTTTGTAAATATTAATTGTTAATAGTATCATATATTTACCCGGTAATATCCCAGCATTTGAGTTTTTCATCCGAACCGACAGTTATCATCAACCCTGGGACCTTTTCACTTAAAATGAGACCTGAAAAAAAAACAAGAAATAACTATGTATATAAAACGATATGCATTACTTTATCCGTCGTATTTGTTGTAGGTATTATATAGTCTGTATGCTAATAATGACACAGATGGTAAATATTTTTTACCTGTGACTTCTTTCTGATGCGCGTCAATGGTCCACAACGGTTCTTCCTGTCTGACGTCCACGTACGCTACTTTACCGATATTATTGCTCATCTGTAATGAAATATAACAAATATATTATCATAAAAACCAGGCCTTCAAAAATCTCTAAACACGACGTTAGTATCCAAATCTCGTTCACTTAACAAGAGGTCGTCAATCTATGCAATCGCTTAAAGAACTTGAACAAAATACAAAGTCTTAATTACTACATTTAATAGCAATATCACTAAAGCGGTTTATTTCTTTCACCATCAATAATAAGATTCCAATTAGTTAGCACTTTTACCGCTATGTTTCATACAATTCCTTTTTCCCAGCCTTACATGCCCTTTCCTTTTCCCATCATTTCTTTTCCCCTTATCATTCAAAGGTGGCAACACATTCGCAAAACTATATTTTTCATAGGTACTACCTACATAGGATAGGCCATCTACTCGGTTGCCTCTTTTAACATAAAAATAATACAAACCGCGAAGCAGAACGGCTGATTCCTATCCCAGTGCACTCTTTCTATCTCAGTGGGAAGGCTCCAAGTACGGTAGGCTGCTTCGTCGCGACAGTCAGACACACGCGCGCGACCATCACAACAACCAGATAAAAGGGTCTGGGCTTCAAGAGGGTGGAACGATAGGGACTGAACCTGAAAATTATACATGAATATAAGTAGGAATAAATTAGACGATCCAGCGTAAAGAGATAAAAAATGTGAACACAGTTATAGTATTTGTATTATGTTGTATATGGACAATATAACGAAATACATTGAAAATTTCGTGTTTTTTTTTTGGAGGATACAACAAACATATTTTTCTAATCGCTCGATATATGAAATTTCAATATAAATATCAAATGTTTTGACCTGAATATAATTTATATTTATATGATTACCGAATATGAGACAAATTTATAGATTGGTAAGAAGAAACTTCGGAATACAATCAAAATTTATAGAAATAGTACACAAAACAAAAAAAATTAAGAAAATGTTTTTAGGTAAATATTTTTCCTTCATTTTTGATTGTTATTTTTATTCGATTTACCAAAAAAAATGTCTAGTTTTTACCGTAAAACTTCAACGTTACTCCTAGTAATGAAAAAATGGCACCTAGTTACAAAAGTACAACTGAAATATCATTTATATTTACATAATTTGCTTTTGTTCGCAGCATCATAAATAGAAGTTAAGAAAACTTTTGCCTTTTTCTGAATACTCACTTTGTCTTCAAAATAGGTTAGTTTAGTGTGTGGTAAGCCTTGATCGAGATCCCACAACAGAACAGTGTTGTCTGCGGAGCCACTCGCTAAAACGTGACTGGAAAGAATTAATTTATTATCATATAACATAATTATATACCATAAAACATATAAAATATATCAAACAATTATTTAATATTATATGAATTATAATTTAACATATCAATTATTGAAATGTACACTACAAAATATTCTACAAGTACATTCATAATCTACCTACTAAAATAGACCTATTTGTTCATCTATTTTAAACTAACATAGCACACGTGTGTAGGTGGAAATTTAGCTGCAGATAGTGGACGTACTATTTCAGTAATAGCCTATTAAGTACTCACTCTAGGCTTCAAGACACAGATATGTTAATATGAAGAAAACACAGACGCGATAAACTGTTCCAACCATCTATTATGCTCATGAAGAAGGAAAATATATCTCTTCTTCAAGATGTGAAGAAGGTCCACAACAATAGGTCTACCACGATACCGGTTGTTCAATTATAGAGGGACACAGGAAGAAAAGCTTGCAGTTAGTATCCTATACAAAACCGAGCGGCTGATTAGATTGGTATTAATCAAGTTATGGCCACTCAGAAGACTTTTATTATACATTCGTGGTGTATACAACAGTAACGTCATATTTTTCAGTGCCTGCCCAAAGGTGACAGAATTACCTATTACAGACATGACAGAACCCACGCTTTATATAAAAAAATGGTTCCCGTGTATATTCCTCCACCTAACAGATTTCTATGGCCCTATCTCAGTAATTTAAATTTGAAATTTCTACTCACGAAAAGTTCGTATTCCAAGACAGATCCAGAACAGCGTCTTTGTGACCAATTCTTTTTGTTTTTTTCTTCTTATTCGGTTTCCTGCCGAGCTTGAAAGCCGGTTCCAAACAGTTTTCAATGTCCAAATCCCACACTTGTATCACTGGGTCCATACCACCGAGAGCGCACAGATTGCCTGAACAAAAACATTTAATGTATGTATCAAAAATAATTAATTAGAAAAAAATGACATTTGTATATTCAAATATCTTTATTATTGAAACAATTTTCATGATTCTTCCTAAATTCGATAGTTTCTTATCTTCTATATACAGGGTGACTGGTGAATTACTATCAATATTTAAGGAGAATACTCGGTACATGATTCTCATTCGAATTATGTAAAAAAAATAGGCACTTAATTTTTGACAAAATTTCCGTATAAATAAGTAAAGTGTTGACACGTTCCAAGTGTTCAAGTGTGGACGCGTGCGGCGGCGTGCTGATACAACACTACGCTGCGACACGCGTATGTGTGAGTGTGAGTGTATACCTAATCTGTAGGGTGTTCACACGATGCGTAATTAATTACACAACTTTTGGTTAACTTTACTTAGAAGTTTATTAATATTTATGTTATATTAATTTTTATTTTGTCATATATGATCGTCAAATATGACGTCCTCAAATATCGATAGTAATTCACCAGTCACCCTGTATATAAAAATGGATTGCTGTTCCTTAGTCTCGCTAAAACTCGAGAACGGCTGAACCGATTTGGCTAATTTTAGTCTTGAAATACTCCTGGAAGTCCAGGGAAGGTTTAAAAGGTGAGAAAAATTGGAATAATTGCCGGAAAAACCCTAAAAACAGCCCTTTTCTATTTCCTATACAAACGTTTTTTTTGAGATTAGATTTGACAACTAACTAATATGTCAATCATTCTGTTTGATTGAAACAGGAAAAACCTGATTATTTATTGGCTCTAAGACGGAATAGAGTTCGCCTGGTCAGCTATACCTATTACTCTTGACAAAACTAACGCGGACAAAGTTGCGGGCAAAAACTAGTTATATATATAAAAGAAAGCTATGTTAGTTATACTGTTTATAACACAAGAACGGCGATTGGGATATGGTTAAAAATTGGTGGAGAGATAGCTTAGAACCAGGACACGGACATAGGATATTTAATTCTGTACGTTCGAAAAAGAAAAAAAACGTAATATATTCCAATATCTGGTTATTTATGACTTCTATGGCGGAATAGAGTTCGTCCTGTCAGTTATACATATATCATTAATTCCGAAATTAACGCGGACGAAGTCACGGGGAATCAAAAGATATAAGTTGTTATTAAAATAAGAGGTGATTATTCAAAACCTTATACATATATACATATTTGAAACATTTTATATTCAAATGTTTTAGTGACAATTCTTTATTATAAAGTAACCATTATTAAGAAAAAATATATATTGCTCAACAATACATAGTATATTTATATAACTATTATATTCTACCTGGTTGTGGATCTGAAGGGTCATGACTGAGCCACTCTATACACAGCGGGAACCACGGCAGGATTATATCATGATGAACATAGAATGAACCCTCTTCTTTGTTGAAAACTGAAAAAATATATGATATTTAACAAAACACTTTAAATTAACCATGAAACAAAGACTTGCTAAATAAAATTAGGTACAAACAAGTACCCTGCCGCAGGTAATCCTACTAATATTATAATTGCGAAAGTTTGTGTGTGTCTATGTTTGTTACTTCCTCACGCTCAAACGGCTGAACCGATTTTGATAAAATTTTGTATACAGGAAGCTGACGTCCAGGAATAACACATAGGCTACTTTACATCCGGAAATCTCGGAAATCCGCTGGTAACACTAGTTCATTCATAAACTTGTGTTTATACTACCAAGTTCACAGTTACACAATTTAAACTTATTGTAATGCTACTAATTATTCAATAGAAATTTCATATCTTACTATATACTTCTAAGACACTGGCATCTGTTTCGACATGTCCCACAAGTAATAAGTTGTCGTCGGGCTTAATGATGTCATCTTCTTCATCACTATCTGGACCTTCTGTCTGAAGATGATTTATTTTTTTAATAGAATACTAATTTATACAGTGTGACTGGTGAATTACTATCAATATTTAAGGAGAATACTCGGTACATGATTCTCATTCGAATTATGTAAAAAAAATAGGTACTTAATTTTTGACCAAATTTCCGTATAAATAAATAAAGTGTGGATATGTTCCAAGTGTTCCAAGTGTGGACGCGTGCGGCGGCGTGGTGTTGTATCAGCACCACAGCATCACAGTGTGAGTGTGTGTGTATACCTAATCTGTAGGGTGTTCACACGATGTGTAATTAATTACATAACTTTTGGTTAACTTTACTTAGAAGTTTATTAATATTTATGTTATATTAATTTTTATTTTGTCATATATGATCGTCAAATATCACATCCTCAAGTATCGATAGTAATTCACCAGTCACCCTGTATTTTTATATTATTTAGTTTTTATATTAAACTTACTCTGATTTGTATGTTTTCACTGAGATCACCTAAGTTTGGTAGAGTTGCTATAGTACCTATACCGACGGGGTTACCTGAAATTTTAGAAAAGCATTTTATATTCATATCTTTGCAGTTAATTGTTAGCTAATAAAAACATATCGATAATAATATCAATGGCCTTTTTTTGTATTATGAATGTATGTGAAAGAAGGTTGTAAAATTTTTTATGCTGTGTTTAAAGTCTGTTCATATATGTAGCAGTACTAACTTGAATCTTCTTGGTCGTAATGTTCAAAATCAAACTCATCATTGGGGTTTGCTGGAGGCTCCCTTATACTCGGTGCAGCTTCATCTTCTTCGCCACTTTGGTCATCTCCTGCTTCTGTTAAACTATTCATTAATGTATTAGCATTGGAAAAAAATTAATTGGCGTTACTGTGCAACTTTTTTTTCAGGCTCTCCACTTACCGAAGGTCTTCAGCAGTCTGCTTTATAATTTTTTCTAATTCATTTTCTGTCAGTTCAATCTAAAATATATATGTATAGTTTATTAACACTAGATGTTGAACCTTAAATTATTTATATTTCAAAAGTAAGTATTATAACGTTTACCAATAAAATTAAATTAATTTTAGAAGCTATTGTTTTGTATTTCCAAAAAGATCTCAATTTTTTGTAAGTAAGATATTTTAAAAATTATTTAATTATACTATTACCTTTTCTGGCACTGATTTCGCTATTCCACGTCTCACAAAGTGCATACATGATACTAAACTTACAGTGGGAGTACCCTCTTCTTCCATATTTCAATAACAATATCTTAATAATAATTAGAAAAGGTTACAACTTTCGTCCTATTATTCTTAGGTTAGGTTTGTGTGTTGACATTCATATCACATTTTTTTGACACATGATGTATTTAATATGAATCATAGATTATTTAAGGGTATTAAAAAATTAATAATTAAATCAATTTATAATAAAACTTGGTTGAAATAAATTTTTAGATCGTGAACTTACAACTAACCAATCTTTCTACGAAAACAAACTTCCAAATACTTATTAAAATATTTTATATTAGCGTCTAGTAAAAAGATATTCAATGAATATTATAACATCGAAACAAATTTAATATATTTATTTCTATGATTAATAATTAAATAATGTTAACCATTATATTTGAAATAATTATGCATTTTATACTAAGTATTATAACTTGCTAAAGAATATAAAAATCAGCTAGAAACGCTCGAAATTTTATAAGACATTTCGTTTATATCCATAAAAAAATAGTTTTCTTGTGAAAAAATAATTATTAATAGTAAAATGTGTAATATTATAAGGATATACGTTAAAATAAAGTTAATAAATAATAATTATATTTTTAAAAAAGGATCACAACTATCTGTCTGTTCTAGGTCTTATTTCTTTATAGCCACAGACAAGGTAAAAGTTGATATTTATTTTCTTAAAATAAATTTATCAAGTATAGACTACATAAAGAAACACTATTCTTTAAACAAGTCTTGATCTTTTGTTATTTAATTTCACATTTGTTTATATAATCTCTTTAAAGCATAAAAAAATTGCTTCATTTAAAGTGTATAGAGATTATTAGAAACGTGGAATAAGTTTTTTTGGTACGTATTGCATGAGATTGTTGCATTATGTCAGTCACTCTGACCATCACAATCTTGAAGTTACTAAGTTAGGAGTTTATTTAATGGACTAATTTCTTTTAGAAGGACAGGAAATTTTTAAATAATAACATGTTACTCCCAAATATCGTATAATTGATTATATATTTATTTGGCCTATTTGTCTATGCGGCTGTCAAATTTTGTCAATATATCAAAGTTAGTATGTACTGCTTGTCATTGCTTTGTTTTTAATATATATAATATTAATTAAAGAATGAATTAACTATGCATTTTTTGAATTTCAAAGTTGTTTGAATTGTAGAGTGTTACGATGAGTGATCAAGAATGTAATGATACGACAAAGGAAGATATTTACCCCGTCGCTGAATGCCGCGCGTGCCTGCAAGTCTTGTATTCCGATTCCAATTTAATAAATATATTTGAACCATGGACGCCACCGTGGGATGGGATGGAGAATACTATAGCCGAAGATTTAGTGAAACTTACTAATATACAAGTAAGATATGTTAATTTATCTTATATAGTATTAAGTATAACATTGTATTGATAGTACAAAAAAAATTAAATTTTACAGATATCAGAAACCGATAAGCATTCGAAATTCATATGTGAGACATGCTATCAAGTTCTGCTTGGGGCATGCCATTTCACAGCTTGTGTTAGGAAAAGTTATCAAATTTTACTCGAACGCTATCCTTGTGAGTCTCAAATAGATGTAAATGACAAAGTGTGGCCTAAACCAATACAAGTAGACAAGACTGTACACAGCTCAATGTACCAAAACCCTGTAGACATAGAAATCAAACAGGAAGCTTTATCTGATGAAGAATATAGTCATGCTACAGAGACATATGATGAAGGGAAGGATAATCTAGCAAATTTAGACATTAAGATTGAACCTGAGGAAATACAGATTCAGAATATTCAAATAAATGTTAACGGTAAGTAATTGTTAAATAAAATGTTACCAAGCTATGCAATTAGAACATAAAAGAATCTAAATATAATTGATTTAAGATAATTATATGAATTTAATAGATGGGTTTTTATATTATAAACATTTATAATATAAAATATTTGTCATTATATTTAAATAATTTTAAATTTACATTATAATAATAACCCAAATTGTGTTTCAGGCACTATAGTAGAGGAGCAACTTAATTGTGATTCATCATCAGAACACATAACTAATGGAAATAGTACAATGGATGATAATGTGAGTCAAAATTACCAAAAATATATTTAGTGTATAAGATTATTATTTTCTCAGATTTACTAAATTACAAAAGTTAAGAAATAAATTTAAGGAAAACAGCAATAAATAAAATTAATTCTATTCAAATATATATTATAAATGGGGAAATTTCCTTGAAAAATTTAGGGATTCATGTGCAACTTGAATTGAATATATAATAATTATGAATCTGATATGAATAAATTATTGTTACTCAGATTTTCTCATACATTGAAGACATAAAATGTCTTAACATTTTTTTGTTAAGATTAATCTAATTAAATATAATTAAAATATAAATTCAAATTTATTACAATTATTATTAAATATATTTAATTTATGGATTATATATATACATTTAATATCTAACACCACTGTAGGCATTATTAATTTGTTAAATTTATTATAATTTCTATTAACCCACTAGGAATACCACTAAGAATTTTGTTCCTCATTTATTTTATCATATCATCACATTAACTAAACATTGACTTTAATAATTAATAGTGGTATGTGTAATATTTAACAATCATATGTTTGTATTTCAGGAGTTAAGGGATTCAGTAAAGGAAGAGCCCCTAACAGATGACGATGAAAACGACAATTTAGCTTCAGATCTGCCTCTTGAATGTCTACTTTGTTCTAAATCATTTAACAGTGTTACTGGACTAAAGGTTTGTTGAATATAATAGATATAAATCATTAATCAATTTTACATTGATACTTTTGCATTATAGACATAAATAAAAATATCATCAGCTTGTTTTTAAAACTTGATTTAAAAATTAAAAAGTCGGGCTCTCAATGGAAAATTTAAATAAGTCAATTATGTAGTAATAAGTAATTAATATAACATGCAGATGATATGTACATGGGAAATTTTTAAATAATTAGCTGATTCAATTGGTAACACATTTTACTTATCCCCACTCAACATCCGTTTGTAATGCAACATGCTATAGATGGACGAAAAAATTTGAATTTGAATTAAATTACACTTAAATTTTATAGAATAAAATACATATAAATGACTTTTACATTATTGATTATTTAAGTCTATAAAATACTTTTATTATGTATATATATATTTTTTTTGATGGAATATTTTTTTGTTGTACAAAATACACTTACACAAGTCACATTTTTTCTTTAAAGGCCCACGTGATCGCACAACATTCCTATAAATCAGTGAAACGGAAGTCTGACAGTGTGTCGCCGCAGAAGAAAAAATGTAATTATATCTGTGCTATATGTAGAAGACGTAAGTGTTGTAGTGCATGGTTAATTATTAACGCTTCTGATATAAAATATAACTTTAACGGGACGGCTATAGCTGGTTGTATAATGGGATAATTGACTAGTTATTTCTATATTATATGTATATTATAATTTTGTATGACAAAATACATATTCTTTCAGGTTTTTCAACATCAACGGATCTAATGGTTCATGAAACCTGTCATAATAAGAGCGTGTGTTACGGTTGTAATCAGAGTTTCGATACGTTCGCACAATTGACTGTACACAGAAGAACGTGTAAGGCTGTAGCCAGTCGGATGAAACATAAGACTTTGGATGATGTTTTAAGGTGAAATAATACATAAGAAATTTAGCATAAGCAAACTGGTCAATAGTGATTTGATAGATGAATTTTGAATGTATACCAATTGGTAGAAAGCTGATTGACGCTTGTGAATCGACCAAAGTGATGACAAAGTGTTTGTTTAAAATCTTAATTTATTTAATCCATTAAAAAAATATCAAAAATTTGTGTTGTAATTCATTCTTTTGTGAACAATTGACTAAATCGATTGGTCCTATGTATAAGGGCCATTGTAGCAATATTATTTTTTGCTTTAAATACTTTATAATAATGTATTATACAACATTTGTATTTGAAAGAATGCGTAATTTGTTGGTGGAAAGACTTAGTTTTTATTGCAGTAAAAGGGCATAATTAACACACTTTCTAATGTATAGAGCTCATATACATTATTTAAAAAACTAGTACAAAAAAGTTTATCATGCTTAAATGACATACATGTATGTCATAGTTGCTATGCAAAGTCGCAAAGTTTCGGTTGTCGCATGTAAAAGATACATTGAAATCAAAATTTAAACACCTCTACTGAAAAATTTTAATATTGCACATTAGTCCTTATACATAGGAGCCATCGAAATATATCACTATATACTAGGTCACTAACTAAATTTTGTTTGTAATTAATAATGCACAGTTTTGTCTTAAGAGTCAATTTCTAAAATGGCATAACTGAATAGCGTAATTTTTGTATCCAAAAAGGCTACTGCTTAGATAAATGTCCCAAACATTTAAGAAAGATAATCTCAATGTCAAAATTTTGTTCAATGTGTTCAGTCAGTATTAGTTCTTATTTGACGATATTTCAATTTAAGGCCTCAAACCCAAGTTAAACAGCCAAAAAAGATGAGAAAAAAGGAATTGCACTGTGCAGAGTGTAATGAAACATTTAGTGATGTTTACTACAAGAGGATTCATGAAGAAATACAGCATAGTTTAACAAGTGAAGATGTTAAAAAGAAGGTTGAATCAATGGAGGTTGATATACCTGGTAGGATATTAACAAGAAATAAACGAAAAGAAGGCTACAAACAATAGATTCTCATTATAAATTGTACTAGAAGGTGCAATTTTTGATTTTGTGAATCTGAATTATATGACACCCTACATTTGATAGATCTTCATGCCTATAAGAAGTTTGTATTATCACACCTACAGTTTCTAGGTATTTAATCAGAAAACTTTAAACTATTGGTTTTTAGGTTGACAATACTAACTAATGCTAGGCACAGTTAATGGTTAATTCAGTTTGACTCTAGCAGAATGAATGAAATAATACCGCATTCATACAATATTGATGATTGTTTTTAAGTGGAAAATATTCTTCATTAAAATTGTTCTAAGACTTACACCCAATGAACTGTGATTCCCAATCGTTATAATGTATAATTGTATACAGTCAATAATTATTTTCGATGCTATAAAATTATTATATAAATGTCTCCATAATTAACAACTTGTAAAGTTACATTTTTATTGCCGTTATGAAAACTATAACTTGTTTTCCAATAAAGGAATGTTACTGTAATTTGATAATGATAATTTACTATGACGTTTAAGATCATTTGTATAATAGTCAATCACCATTTCACATGTAAATATAATGTAACATAATGTATCGTCATTTCTCTAGTAAACTTTGTTTTGAAATTAATTTTGTTTTAATTCTCATCCCGAAAATGCTAACAAAGTATTTCTATGAAAAATAGATATTGAAACAAGTAAATAAAATTTATTAAACATAATAATTATGTACATTCATGAAAATAGATTTTGACATATTTCATATACAATAATTATATTTTCAAGGTCTATTATTCTCGCTTTCACAGCCTTCCACCGTCAAGACAGATACAATATAATACTGAACAAAAAATAAATAGTAATGAAATACAAAGAATTTACAATGACTTCAATTTGAAATTTCAACTACATTTTAAAGGAATGTTATCTGAATAAAATAAAATTTATAGTCTGTGAAAGTGCTACAGATAATTAATTCCTGTTCAATTCTGACAGGATTCTCAAGATGTATAGGAACAGGTTCAAGATGTCCATGTAAAGATTTATGGTGGCGAGGATGTATTCTTCGGGGGAAAGTACGGTCATCATCTGTTGTGTGTCGAAGATCAGAAACAGGCTGAAGCAGATTGCACCCACAGATGACAAAGCAATCTCGAACAAGGAGCTTTGCAGGAAGATTTGGATGATACCTCCAATAATGAGCACACATAATGCAGCAACAAGGCTAAAACAAATTAAAACATTAACAATATAATTAAATACAGTCATTTCAAATTCTAAACCAGTTTGTTTTATCAGTAGAATCTATCATTATGTAAATGTTTACACAGTTATAACACCAAATTATAAAATTTAAGTCAATAATTTGACATACCCATAGCCAACGAACGAGAAATCACGTTTGGTGTTCAGTGTGAAGAGGGTCAAAGAAAATACAACAGTAAATGTTATAGCCAGGGCCTGGAGCACCACTAGAGTGTCGCAGTAGGAAACTACTACACCAATAGTATATGCTTGTACGACAGTCTGAAATACATTAATTATTGTTTTTTTACATAGTATAACTCAAGAATGGCAACCTAGGTGTTTCTTGACAATTAACACTTATGCGAGTATTCATTTAAATGAAACTAATATTATTTGGATTACTATGTATATTTTATTATTTTAAAAAACTACATACTCCCGACGTTTCGGTTAATGTTCCCGACGTTTTGACAGTCCGCGATCACAGTTGCTAAAAAATTACCGAAACGTCGGGACTATGTTTTTTTAAATAATGAAATTCGTGTAGAAATTCGAATAATATTAGTTTCATTTGCCGTCTTAGCCATTCATACAAAATTACAATTCAAAATATTTTCATATAGCTTCTATACTTACAAATGCAGCGAGTAAATACAAATTTGTGGGATAATCTCTCCTCTTGACTATGAGGGCTAACAAAATCCCCATGCTCATGATAAAGGAAAGAAGTACCATCCAGTCACTAGAACAAAAACAAAATAATTATAAATAATTAGTGTTAAAACAATATTGTACAGGTCTCAATATTTTTTTATAAGGTGCTTACTTTTGATGAATAAACAACTGCACAGGTTTTACAAGAAGGAACACTCCTGCTATGGCAACTGTTGCTAATAGTTGTACAGTCAGCAATCCATACACCTTACGAATAAAGCCGAGCCTGATTTCCTTGTCCGCATTTAAAACATTGTTGCGGTAAGCAAAGTCATCCTGAAATTTTTTTATTACAGATTAGATGGGAATTTCCATAGATCAGAGATATGTTGTATAAATTATATTCAATATATTTGAAAGTTATTCAAATCCGTTGACTGAGGAATTACCATCAGCCTATCAGCAGACTGCTAAGAAAAGGCTTCTTTCTCACATGTAGAAGGTTTGAGCATTAATCACCACTGACTAAGGAGTATAAAATGCAAATAGGAGTATATTTTGCATCTAGTGTAGTTAAGTTAAAAGAAGAAACTTTTACAATGGTAATAGTTATGTAACTATACAGCTCAACTATACCAAAGGATGACTATTATATAAACAAAAATTTAAATATAAAAGCAGGTTGTACACATAATGTTCTTAAACTTAGTATATTTCATCACTTCAGATTACTTTTGAGTTACATTATTGTTATTGTTTATATGTGCTTTTAATCCAGTTTTAACTTTTTCTTTCTTGTATTGTAAAATAAGACCTTATTATAATACATTATTCTAATGTAAAGTTTATTGAGCAAATTTTTTATCTTATCTTTAGGGGAACAAATAAAATTTCCAAAAATGATAAATGTATAATTTTGTTCACATTTTCTACAAATATAATATTATAATTAACAAAGTGAGAGTATGGACTTTTTAATGTGTTTGAATGTGTTGGGATTTTTTATTTTTTTAATGTGTTACATGGTAAATGACAGGAGACATTTGTTGCATTCAAAACAAGCTAATGACGAATTGCGTAAAACAATTACAAGAAGCGGGGATTAACATATTTTCCACAATTATATTTATATTTGGTTTTGAATCAACTTTTATTGTAGTATAACAGATATCAATAAGCAAAATAACACTGTCAGTCGTCAAGGTCTTCACGATTGTTAAACTATTTATGATTGTAAAATTTATCATTTACCTCAATATTGTCCTTTCCTCCTAGCTCACAATCTTCTTGAGCATACATCAACGGTATGCCAGCCATTTTAGAAGTCGTTTACTTCTTCAGAACAACTTTATTTATCAAAACTGGAACAAAATAAATAAGTTTTTCGAAAATATTCGTAACACTATTTAGTTCTTAGTAGTTTTATTGATTTAGACAAACTTGACGTACCTGACACATCACAATTGACATATCATCATTGCCAGAAGTTAACGACAATTAATATAGGCAGGTAATTTATTCATTTTATAAATTTAGTTTTAGATATAATTTACCTTCCCTACTTTATATTTTTATCGTTTTTATTAAAACTTTTTGTTGTTTAACGGATAAGCATTACAACTTGATTTAAAATAGCGTTAATTTAATTTAAAGTAAGCTGTAAGTCCCACAGATAGTACAAATTTTTAGAGTGAAAAACCTATTATAATTATTATCTCCATTCAATTTATCGAATTGGAGAAGTCCGAGTGGAGTGCAAACATTTTATTTCTTTGGGTCACTTAGAAGTCACTAAAGTCTGTTGGAAAAAACGTATGACATTTGCGTTTTCGAAGTGAAGTAATTGGTTGCATCTTATGTTTCAAAATTCAGATGTCTTTTTATTTGATTTGATGTCTCTTTATTTGACCCTTATACATTCTAAGTCTGATAAATTTATTAGTAGAATAGAAAATAGCCCTTGGAAACAAGTTGAGGCAAAGATTATTAATTTATTTTATTTAACGGAAATGTAAAAATTTGTTTGACTTTAAATTTTCAAAATCAGTAAATTAGCAAATTTAGAGCGAGGCAAAAGAATAATAAACGCCTCCAATTAAATCTTCAAAATACTGTTACCCGTTTTAAATTAATCAGGCTATTTTTATTGATTTTATGTAAGAAATACATACTTACTTAAAAATATATATTTTATAAAAGTGTAAAATTAATTTTTTTTAAGCATTTTTATTTTAAATTCACTACAAATTTAATAAATGTTTTCTTAGAGAAGAGACCTTCCGTTCTAAAATTCAACAACATACAAAATTGGATTTCCAGTTCAGATCAAGAATGGCAGTCTTTTAAAGCGTAACCACTGCACTATCAGCATAGCTATAAATGGAAGTTTGTGTAACACATATTAGAAAAAAGGTTATTGCCTCTCTCCTACAAAGTTTACGAACTTTTAGAACATAACAGAACTCTTTTTTAAATTTAAGGCCGCCAACATTATTCCAAATAGACGTTATCGAAAGGCCTGCAGTCATATCAAAAACGTCTTTAAGTCACGGATCCGAATTTCCTTGTATGTCATTAAGTTTATTATTTGTTATAAACTGCTTAGTACCCTTAATCCGAGGTAGCCATTAGTTTTGCAGTAATGCTAATATTACGGGGACTCAAGTGGCGTGCACTCCATAGATGAAAATAAGCACTGCATACCCTACCAATATAACAACTAAACCTATATTGTTTATTTCTTACTTACATACTTTAAATCATACATTACGAAATAAAAATGTTTACAGACATTTAAAATACATTTGATTCATGATATTTAATGAGTGCCACCTATCAATTTAAAAACGAAACATTTTCGATCGGCCGCTGCTAGCGCCGCTATGCAGCTAGCGCGGCGATATACACAACCACTCTCTACTTATTTTCCATACAAAATCTCTCAAGGACGATCTACAAATCTCATGTACGTATGCAGGAAATGTTTGTTTGTGTGTAAAGCATCTGATTATTTTGACTGATCATTTTGTATTGTTTAAAATCTCGTAGAAAGCCCGTTAATTGTCAAGCGAAATGGGGCTCTCTGATTGGTCGGTAAACTGTTCATATATTTTTTTCGCCATTCATTATTAGTGAATATTGATATTTGTCTTTGGGAGCGTTCAAGTATTACGTAACGCAATTTTGGGGGAGGGGGGGGGGGGTCTCGTAAAACGTTACGATGCGTTACTGGGGCGGGAGGGGGTGTCTCTTACAAAACGTTACGTAGCATTGTTTCTAAAAAAATATATTAATAAAAACCCCCAAACTGGCAACTCTTTTCATATACATTACATTTTTGACCAGATTGTATTAGTCTGGTCGATATTTTTATTTGTTATTCCAAGTTTGCAAACCTCTTAATTGATATTTTACAGGGAAATCTAGGAATCTAGGAATCTAGGGAATCTAGGTAAGATTGCATTGTAAGTCTTTTGATGAAATTGATCACTTGAGTGTTACGTAATGTTTTGAGAAGGGGAGGGGGGGCTACAGAAAAACGTTACTGTGCGTTACGACGGGGGAATGGGGGGTCAAAAATCTTCGAAAATTGCGTTACGTAATACTTGAACGCTCCCTTTCTAAGCGCAAGTGAATAAGTTTTAATTAGTAAACAGTGGATTAATTTATTAAAAAATTATGGAAAATTATAGCTGTCAGCTATATGCTTGTGATATGTGTTTATTAAAATTAGTTACGAGTAGATTTTCAATATTGTCGTTTCATAATAAAATTAAATTAAGTGTAAAGTCAAGGTGTATGACCCGTCGTGATTGAACTAAAAGAAAGGTAACGTTATTCGTTTTAATAAAAAGTATTATGATAGTTTTAAATAGTTAGCAGGTTGTGTACATACAAATACTTAAGTTATTTTGTTTACCTGTTTGTTGTTTTCAAATGATAATAATAAGAATATTTGGATGTTTCAATCTGGATATTCCTATTTAAATAATTTTTATAAAAAAGTGATGAACAGATCGTAATCGTTTTAGATACTTTCATGACTCAGAGGTAGTTGAGAGATTCATATGATGTTCGTTTCGATCGCAAGGTTGTAACATTATGCGCTAATATTTTCAATATTTACATGAAACTTATATTTTCGCTTATTACTTCGCTTATTTTATTGTGTTTAAAAACTACACACTCCTGACGTTTCGATTACTTTGCAGCAACCGTGATCACGGCAATTATTTCGTCTGCCCTAATTTGAAGCGGGACAAGATCTAGGGACGACGTGGTGTTGTGAGAGGTCAGCCGTCTTATAACTTTTTATGGTTAGAGAGATTGACTACCTCCTTCGTAATCCGCCATCCAGGTACGAATCCAGGAATTGAAAAGAAAGACGCAACGATAGCTCCTCGATCGCCTCCCTTGACATGGAACACAGGTTAGGAACGAACCTTTATTGCGTTAATCTAGTGTGGCCACCCACACAAAGAGGCCTTTTACCTTACGTCATCCTGGATGTTATCCTACTATTTTGAATGGAAGTTGAAGTCACCTAGAACCCATATTTCACAATGAGCACTATCGCGTGTGCATTTGACTAGTCCCGGTAAAGTGTTGAGTGTCATTGGAGTATGCAAGCTCCCCGGTCGAATAAGAAGACGACTCCGGGTAGAATGACGATTTTTCTCTTTAGTTGTAGGTACATACATGTATTCTCTGGGTGATGAAAGGGTTTGTAGAAAATTAGCCCCTGTTCCGATCTCTCTTTGTAGTTATCTAATATGCAGTTGTATGTTTTTTAGTTCTACTTATTAGTGAAAAATAATATTAAAAGAAAAACTTCAATAGATAAATAGTTAACGTTTAACGCTTACTATTTATCTATTGAAGTACAGTTAACGCTTTGACAATTGACAATGACCATTTAATACCTTTCCAATAAATCGAATTTACAGCAGAGACCATGAAATTTATTATTTTCATTACAATCAATGTTATGATTTTTTTCATACTTAATAAACTCTTTAATATTACTAAAAATTATCACGAAGTGTCTATAGAGGCAGCATATCTGTAACAAAACACAAAAATAAAGAAGAAATATTATAACTACGTATAACACGTGTATTCACAACCTTATTATTGGCACAGAGGTCGAAAGAAAATATATTTGTGTTGATGTGATTGCTTTCTTTCGCTGAATAGATTGAAGTACTATGACCATAAGAGGAAAATAATTAAGGTAACAACTATTGGTAAGGTAATTATGTCTTAAATATTAATGAAATTTTACTAAAAACCTCTGTGTTTATGTTTAAGAATACATATTTGTCAATACCAATTACTTTACTTTTACTTTACTTTAATTTACTTCCTCTATATAATTTCAAAGCGTATAATCAGATAACGCATTATTGACATGTGAAATTGTTAGCTACGGGTCGACTGAGAGCTAGCGGACTGGCGCTGAGTATATTTGCACATACCCCTTGTTGACTGTTCAATATACGATCGATACGTGTGCACGAGGGACCAGTTTTGTTTATAAATTTATTCAAAACATACTATAAAATGCAATGTATATTTTTGATATATTTTACACTTAAAGAAATTTTTATTTTAAAGTCAACGAAAAAGGTATATTCTTTCATACTGGTATAATTCATTGACGTCCACATAAAATTTTACTCTAAATAGTATTTTTTATAGTGGGTTTTGATGTGTAAATTGTGGATTTTTTAAATTATTTTCATAAAATTTGTTTAAATGTATGATAAAAGAGAAAAAACGGTAAGGTTTCGAAGAGTAATAAAGTTAAAAAAAAATTGGAGTTAGTCACCCAAACTCTAAAACCTTTCAATGTAAATAATATTTTATAAGACAATATTTGTCAGTCATATAAATCTTTTAGACGTTTATTACTGCTTAAAATGAAACATGCTAATTGATTCAAGCCAGATTTGTCAGTTAATTAAAACTAATTTATATACCTAACCCTTAATTGTTTAGTTCAATAGCGAATGAGTGTTGTGTATCGTCAGTTTAAATCTAGATTTCTATCTGTATCATATATTCGTTTATTTGTATGCCCTAAATAAACTGCGTCAGATCGATTGATGTACGAACATTATTTTTACTGGCAATAAAGGTTTACTGTCATCGGTTGCCGGAGAGGTCGTTCTGTAATTACAGTTTTTATAGACACCGCTTCTAGACTTTCAACTTCCAGTGCATTAGCAGTTAAGGGGTGGCTGAACAACTTCCTTGAACGACTACGTCATTTTGTTAATATATATTTACAAGAAAAACTTTAAGTTCTATTTTTA